GAATATACTGTTAAGACCGTACTCAAGTAGTATCGGATCCGAAGGGCTTCGGCCTCAGCTCGTGCACTGTGCCCCTTTCCCGAGTCTTGCCCCTTATTTCAGAGAGCTAAAGTATCGCGTGTATAGAGTAACGGCCAATCCGGATCGGATCCGGACTAGAAACTAACGGGTGAGGACTGTCCGAAGACAGAGGCGGATATGTAGACTATAGGAATCTATCCTAAGTCTCGGAGTAGACAAGAGTAGCGTACTCAAGTCCGGATGGATAACGGAGGGACTCAGAGTCCAGACGGAATGAGTGCAATCTAAGATGATATTCGAACTGATCTACTACAGCGCATATACAAAGGTTTATATACTACGGATAGCTAACGGAATGATCAATAAGCAAAGGTGCGAGGCTATGTATGAAAGTATAAGCAAAGTCTAAGTGGAGCGTATTGGTAAGTTGGATGGATCACGAATCATGAACCGGGAATGAAGTACAAGTAAAAGCGGATTCGTAAGTGTAGCGGATCAGTAAGCATAGCGGATCAGTAAGCAAAGCGGAAGTAAAGGATAACCGGTATACCGGTGTACAGGAATACCGAAAGGAGATGAACGATAGTTAGAGTTATATGAACAGGAAATGAAATAAGAATCAAAGCGGATCTGTGGACCGGACGATGGATATGTTCATCGGATCTGGATCGGATCTGAGATCCAGATCATCGGATCTGTAACCGGATATATGGTATATGACAAAGGCAAGTGGTCACATGCGCTGAAGCTTGAAGTGCTGATGAAATTCCGTTTGATCCCACGGAAGAAGTTCATGTCCACCCTATGTGTGTGCTGGGCCACCTGAGCTCTGTGTATATGCACTTCCAATTTGCTTCGAATCACTCACTATCCACGCCACCTTTTGACCATTCTGATCAGCGCATGAAAATTGCAGAAAACACTGCGGCAAAAACGCTGCTGGATCAACAATCATAACCTATACAATTGCAAGCGCTCTGTGAGTCACCTTTGGACATTTGTGAATTACAATAATGTCTGTACAGTGTACACCACATTTGCTGTTGTCTTTCTCTCTTGCAAAAAGTGTTTGAATGTCTCGCCAACATCGCACTCTAAGCCCTGTATTCCTTGGACTATCAAGAAGTTGTTGAAAAGCACAATCTTGAATGATTCAACTTAGCGAGCGAACCGAGACAGGCACTTGCAGTCCCTGGAGTTTTTATTTCAATGTGTCACCCTCTGTTAAAACTTACTACAGCACTTGTGTAGTAAGCACGCTGGCTTACTAGAGTTCCCATAATCTACATAAATACTGTCCGCGATACTGAAACATAAGCTTTCAGTATCACTGCCTTTGGCATAACAGTTAAGGGACAACAGTCTTAGCTAAGTTACAACTTGTTTGATTGGTTTCGAATCGATCTAGCTATTCGGTCACAAGGATGGTCCTTCTCTGCAGATTTAGGCTGTTCCAGCCAAATTCCAAGCTCTCCATGACTGTTGAGATGATCATTTGGAATCATCTCAGCACCTATGCGATGGTGTGCCAATCTTATACCCCCTCCATCTGAGATTATTGATTTCAAAAATAGGAGGATCCAAGTTTCATCAGGGTTGTAAGATAACTTCAGCAACGCATGTGGGGTGATTGCCACTCCATCAATTGAAATTTCATCGTGCACTGTCTGGATATATCACTGGCGCATTTTGATCTGCACATTAACCCCAGGATCTTTCTCGTCCACCTGTTGAATCTTTATCCATCATGGGACTTGTCGGAAGCTTCACTTCGCTCCGTCGTTTGAATAATGCTGACACTAATATAGTAAGTTTTATGTTGTGATTGCAAATGGACGTACAATCTGTGATTTCACACACATTGTTGGTTACTCGCTCTGAGCCTGTTTTCAGTACACGACTCTGGTCTCATCTGTGTATGTTGCTACCAGGCAACTATCTGTTCTCATTCCACTACAGTGACTTAGGCAAGTGAATAATTCACAGTTGTTTCTAACTGACCCAAATACGGGGTAACATTCAATGACAGATTGGAAGTCCATCTCATTGTTACGATGAGCAACAAGTTAACACCAGTGCGCAAGTAAGGTGGTTTTCCCTCTGGTTTTCGTCACTGATTCGTCGATTTAGAAAGAACTTACTTGATATGTTTCTGGCTACTGCCATGAGGGCATCCCCAAATCACATGGAGCATATTTCTTCCACAACAGGAACATCAGGCGAACCGGAGGAGCTGGTTTCTTTCAATGCTGTGTGCATTATTCTTGAACTACGATGCCATCCATCAGCTCTCCTATACAGTGGTTAAGCGCTAACAACAGTATAAATACACACTGTGCAACTCCTCTAGTGTGCCATCCACAACGATGCAACCTTTCTTTATAACCGCTTTAGCTCTCTCACAAGCCTTTGTCGTGCTTTCTCAACAGGCTCAGACTGCCTTAAACGCTAAATCTTGTGAAGAACATGCTAAGCAAGCAGGTAGGTGTCCTATTCTGCGGTCAAGTCCACCAGTCACCAGCATGCTCAATTGACTGTGTATCGTCAGGCCTGCCCACTGATGGTTGGGAATAGTGGTGCCAAAGTTCGGTTTGGTCGGGTTCATTGCCCTATATCTGCGAACCCCTAACTCAACAATTGGTCAGGTTCAGGCCAGATGGCTGAACCTAGGACTGGACCCCTCCAAACGCGTTTGCAAGAGTTTGGTTCGGGTTCATGATGCGTTCGAACCCTCGAACCGTTGTTTCAATTTGCAAAAAAAAACAATGTGTACAGTGTCAATAGCTACTAGGACCCTTCCTTCACAATGTGGTTATCATACAGAGCAACAAACTCAACCTGGGCCGTCGCAGAGATATGCCCTTGACGGTATGCACTCTTGAGCAATTGAAGAGCCTCGAATGTTGTTGGTTGCAAGCTGCCGCAATGTGCAGTCCCAGTAATGCCGCCGCTTGAAAACACTCGCTCGGACACAACAGCCGAGCCCTGAATGGCCAGGTAGTCCTTCGTGATGTGGGAGACAGTCAGGTATTGCACAGAATGGTGCTTGAAAGTTTGTTAGTATGCAAGCAACACAAATAAAACAATGAGACACCCCCCCCCCCCCCCACCAGGTCACTACATTGTCAACATCCTCAAGTGGTGCATTCAGATAGTCCTCGAGTTCTTGATGAGGCCTTCGTGTGGCTGTATCATTCACGATATGTGATTTCACAGAGTTGCACATCCAGTTATGGCCATACGAGCTTTGGCGAGCAGTGAGGGAGGTGCAGTAACAGATGGCCCTACACATCAGCAAACTACTGGGTGCCTGTACAGATTTGTACAAACTTGTACAGACTCACAGAACATACAGCTAAGTCCCCCCTATGCAGGTCTGTTGTCATGAATTCCAAATACAAATCACTATTCTTTCTTGAACACTTGTAAGACATTCAATAAGCGCCCGACACAAGCGCCCATCGTTAACGCCCAACCAGCGTCTGTACCTATAACCTTCACAAACCCTAACCCAAACTTCTCTATTCCATTAGCGCCCACTACCTTCATTTCTGATATTCCCGATTTCGACTTCCTTTCACAAGCGATTAAGTCATGTGATACTAGAACCTTCCAGAACCCTTGCACAGCAGTCACACATTTCATGACATCATAGGTGTAGTTATATTTAGATCATCGTATGATTCCTTTTTCTATTTAATGATTGGCTAGTTAGTTCAGATTCAGATTCAGTCTCCGTTTCAATATATGTATATAGGTAGCTCGTTGTAGTCAGTAGTTCTTCAGTTCAAACCTCTTGTGTACTAGCTCATTGCTAGCAATCCAAGATGTACCTGCTATTATCCTCTTTCTTGTTGTGATACCTTTGTTTGAGTCCTAGTCTCTGCCCCTGCGTTAATTCGTTATAAGGGTTGTGACATCTGTACAAGCCTGTATCAGGACACCTTGTACCAGCTGTAAAGCTTGTGGGCTTGTGGATCTCAGAGCACAAATGACAAAAGGAACATCACCAAGTCATGTCACATGTTACATGTCAAATCACATGATGTATTTCACACATCATAATTTGCAATGAGCAGGAATTGAACCCAAGACCTCAAGCCTCATGTAATTATAAGTGCAGCATTGTTACCACTAAGCCACAAGACCATTGATATATCTCAACAGTAATAGCAATATATACCAAATAAATGTCACATGTCCAAAAATGCGAAAATTCACTAAGTCCTTTCAACACAACACTACTATTATATTTACTAGTATATATATTCCAGTCCAATAATTTAATATAGATGTGCTTGAATGGTAGACTGCTTCATTTAATATATGTTTTATGTCACTCAGTCAATAGATTTTGTTATATTTCTGAGAGGCACAATAAGAATTAATACATATCACACTCGTTTTTCAAGCGCTTTGTTCGGTTTCTATCACGGTCTATGCTACAGAATCAGGGCTTTAATATGATCCAACATTCATCAAATTTGGTTCACAGGGTCAAGAGATATTACACTTTTAGTGTTGTTGGGGGGTGTAATAATGATAAATATATATCTCAACCGCTTTTTCACTAGTAGCTATTCATCCAGGTTCTTCCTCCATCTATGCAGTAAAATCAGGGCTTTCCAATGGTCCAACCTTTGTGTAATTTGGTTCACAGGGTCAGGAGATATTGCATTTTTGTCTTTATGGGAGGTTCAATCAAGTCAAATAATACATATCTCAATCATACTTTCAGTATTATAGTAGGCTAAGGATAGAATAATGTTAGCAAACTAGTCATTTTGGCAAGTCTCTGTAGAGCTTGTACAAGCTGTACAAGCTTAGTCGGATTTTGGTTGGCAAGAGATAGGAATACTGGCTGAAATTCACATTTTTAAGTTGGTTTGTATTATTTGTAGACCTTGGTAGCATTTGGAGTGTGCTATTTTATTATATGTCTGTGAGTTTGTAAGACCTGTGTGGTCTTGTGGCACCTGTCACAAAATTGGTAGTTTGCTGATGCAGGAGCCTGCGAGGAAGTACTAGTGTTATCATACATATTGAACTATGTAATATTAGTATACAATTGACATAAAAGAGTGATGAGCGACATACGACTCTCTCGAGGCATTCCATGCCTTGTTTGAAAAAATGAGGGGCCCATTTGTCATGTGCATATGCGACCTTGTAGTTGGGGTCGAGCGCTACACCAAAAAGGTAAATGTCAATCGAACATATTAAAATAAATATGATACATACCTAGGCAAATGAAATATGTGTCCATGTCATCAGTCTTACCATACCACTTGCGGAGATTGATGACACCAGCTTCAATAGCTGTTGAGAAGCGGTTGAATTTTGATGTGCCTGCCATATTTTGCAGTGTCTCTTGAAGACATTCGAGCACTGGGATAGTCCGCCATACGGTTGGTTCACATGTCACTGAGAAACTCTGTTGAGCGTCTGGGGGCTCCTGGAGGACTTCACACATCAGCTCCAACTTGGTCCATTCAGGTGCCGAAAGTCTGAAATCCGCATATAACTTGCCCTTAAATTTGGGACCTCATCACTCTCATCAGCGAGCTGGATGAATCTGTTTATTCCCTGACAAATCAAGTGAGCAATGTATTCATGTAGTCATTAGTATAGTAGAGCACTTACTTTGCGCAATTGAAAAATACACTGCAGCATGTTGAAAAGTGATGCCCAGCGTGTGCGAATCCTTTTCGAAAATTCTAAGGTGGGCTCATTCACTTCCACACAACACTTCTGAAGGAAGGTGCGTGCTTGAGGGGACTTCCGAACCTAAACAGTGTCATGTCAGTGTACAACGACAGTTAGATGATTACTTGAGTACTTACTTGTGTGACGAATGCGAGTGCCTTGCCGATGATGTCACCAATGTCGAACTCAACACTTTCGTCGTTGTAGTTATCATCGTCCTCAGCCTGACCTGCCTTCTTGTGCAAGGCGCTTGCAGGCGTAGGAGCCACTTCTTCGACAAAATGTTTAGGAAAGGGTGACTGAGCAAAGACGTCCACGAATCGAACATCATCAAAATCTTGCTATCAACATGTTTGAGCTTTTCTTTGACCCACTCGACTGCCAGTTTTGCACGTTCGAGGATTTCGTCCCGAGTTTTCGTACAGTGGGGAATATCTCGGTCGGAAAGCGATGGCCGGAGATATTGAAGGAGGCGACGGAAGGGTCCTTTATCTACGAGTTGAAAGGCCTATGATGTAGCATTAGTATCTTGAAAATATATCAAAAATGAGAGTTGCTCACCTCATCCTCGGCAACAATGAGTTCGACGATGTAATCCATAAGTCTGGCCTTCGTGAATACAGGAATCTTGGGAGTGAGAGAGGCGTCCAAGGTTGGCTGACTCTTGCAGTCATGAGGAATTGCACGATCATGCATCGTGAAACCCCGTTCTTTGCAGCGGTCTTGGTAGACTGGGTAATGGCACTTGGGATGGCGTGCGATGTGCATGCGTCGAGTTGAGATACCCCCCTTGAAAAAGCACTGGTGTAGTGCAATGTTGTTGGCCTTGCATACCTCACACCACCACCCATTTTCATGCTCCTGGGTGTGGGGGTGAACACGATCTTTCTCGAAAGTAAAGATGGTTGTCAAGTCCGCGCTGCATTTATCCTTCTTGAGGGATCTACGGTCTTCACGATCCTGGTCGCCAAGCGTCTTTGTCTTTTGGTATGCTTCCTCTTTCTCGTCGTCTTCCTCATCATCTGTAAAATCCTCGAGCGGAGGACATTCTTCTTCAGCGTCATCATCATCGTGGTCCTCTTTGTTGCTAGCGCTTCGTTTGGGTGCAGGGGCACCTTGAGGAGGTCCTGCAGCCGACCGTTTGGCCGGGACACTGCTAGCAGTCTCCCAGATCTTCTCTGTAGGTTTGGTGGCTCGACCCGAACGGCGTATGAATGTGTTAAGAGTGCCGTTGTGCGCAGGGGGGGGAGGGACATCAGTAAAACATCGAGTTCCTTTTCGGTCCTTAGCTTACTTAAAGTTCCTTAAAATTAATTTTAAGGCTGCTAAGGAGAATAAGAAACTAGTGTGTTCCTTAGCGAAATGTATTCTAAGGAGCGAAGTCGTTTCAAGGCGGTTAAGGCATCAAAGGCAATTGTATTTTTGAAAGTAAAATAAGTAAAATAAGGCGCCTGCTGAGCGCCAAAAAAAACATGTGATGTATTATGTTAGTGTTTACTTCAATAAGCACTGATAGACGCGCGACACGCCGACAACAACAACTCGCTCGTCATCTACACATCAATCGCGGAAATCTACAAAATCTAAGAAAAAAACATCATAGTAAGTTTTAATCGATAATCGTCGCATCAAACATTGCTTACCAGGTGCTAGTGAATCAGATGGCTCCAAGATCTCGTGTGCAACTGCAACGAAAGACGTGCAAGTGGGGAGATGTGGCTGTCCGGGCAGAGGCTGCAATCAGAGCTGAGGCGAGGGCAGAAGAAGCGGAGGCAAGAGCAGAAGAAGCAGAGGCGAGAGCAAACGAGATGAAGGCGAGAGCGGGAGAGGGATTATTGTGCTTCAAGTTCTTGAAGAGGGCGGGGGGCTGTTTTTGAAGGAATCAAAACAGAGTGCGTTGCTCGAGCCTCGAGTGACTGTAGACCATGGTGAGTGCAAGTACATCTCGAATTTGATGAGAACTTACCTATCATTTGAGCAGGAATCGAGACAGAATGTGTGGCTTGAGTGTAGAGTGAGTTTTGTACAAGTGTATAATAGTGAGGATTAAGGCCGTCTGCCTGGGAAATATGAATTGTCGTAGAAGACGGCGGTCGTTCAAAAGCTCGTTGTATTCTTCGTCCAACTTCATCTGCAGCTCCAGAGAGCTATCATCAACGCCAATCTGGAGGGTATTAGGCAAGAATCCATTCTTGCCATCCGTGACATCAACGCGATAGTTGTGCTCAAAGGCTTCATTGTCAAGGCCAAACGTCTCAATCTTCTGACGTTCGATGAATGCACCGTCCATACCATCTTCACCATACACGAACTGGATGAGGTCTCCAAGCGAGTTGCGAACAGTGCCATCATAGTGTACCATCACATCCTCCAATGCCTTGACGAGACGACCTGCCCAAGAAGATGCATTTCATGTGAAATCACACAATTGCAACGCTTTACCTGTTTTTGAATCTCGCTTTTTGAATCTCACATAATGATACCGGTCTCTGCCTTCTTGACGGCCATGGTGTACCATCACGTCCTCCAATACCTTGACAAGACGACCTGTCCAAGAAGATGCATTTCATGTGAAATCACGCAATTGCAACGCTTTACCTGTTTTGAATCTCGCTTTTTGAATCTCGCATAATGATACCAGTCTCTGCCTTCTTGACGGCCATATCAATAAGACCTTTTCTTCCAGCCATGGCATGGAAGAAAAACTCCTGTGGCGTCAACCCTCGTAGATATGAGTTCTTGACGAAGCCACATGCCTCCAGGCTGAAGTCGTCCTTGGTGAAATGGGGAAGAGTACGATGACGGAACCCAAATGGGATTCGACGACCTTCAACACTTTGCTGCCCGACACAGACAGACATTTGCGAGATGTTGATGTATGAACCCTTGGAACCAGCTGTGACCATCTGCTTCACGTTGTACCCGACAGCAAGGTTGAAGGCAGCAGGCCAGGAAAGCCGCACAACCCATATGAAGACGATATGGTCTTGGAGCCTGCCTGCGTGGGGAAATGTGGGTTGCCGTAGGGGCGGCGGTTGTCGAGCATCGCGTTGTATTCTGTCATCTAGATGGGTCTGTAGGGTATTTAATTAGCAAAAGGACGACAAAATGAGAGGCAAAGACATACCACAATCATGCTATTTCAAAAGCGTGGTGATCGGCATATCTGTTGACATAGTAGGAGTTGAACATGTCGTATGAGTCGTGTGGACTTATTTTTGGGATAAAGTCCGGGCCATAGACTGGAATGAGATGGGCAGCGCGAAAGATACAATTGATGTGAATAATTGAGACGTCTGGGACATTGTCACCAGTTGTCGCTGGCGTGACGACATACATGCCTGTGTCGGGATCACGTTCTTCGTGGACATAAGAATACCAATGAACTATGGCGCAGGGATAGTATGAGGTCCGATAGTTAAATGAGAAAAAGCAAAGGACTCGTGCAACTGCGAGTCCATTCATGGGAGAGTCGAAGTCAACACCCATGTTGATGAAGATACAGTCATGCCTCGGTTCGCCAGTGCGCCACGATGGTGTTGCCCTGATGTGCTCACGACGCATACCTCCTGTACCACTCAGATCACTGGGTGCATGGAACGAGGCTGCAGCAGACTTAAAGAGGGTGAGTTTCCCTAGGAATACTTGCGCTGTTGCCGGATCAAACTCAGGAGGGTTGGGATCGTCTGAATAGTGTTGATCATGTATGAATTCCTGAATCATAAACGGGAGGCATGGAAGCTCGAGTTCGAGGCTGAGTGCATGAACATTTCATGCACAACCTATTCATTGTCAGAAAGGGTCCAGGAGCAAAATGTTTAACATACGAGGAGTTAATGCAAGCTCAACATGGGACTCTACAGTCGGTCCATCAATAATCTCACCAGCATCCACTTCAACGGATTGATTTTGAGGCTCGTGGATACGCAGGCGCCCATGATGGCCTTCTTGCGCCATATTAGCCTCCGCGTCGTCATCCGGTTCTAAGTCGTCGTCTGCAGGAATATTCTGACCTATTGGGGATATGAGAAGGGCTACATCGTCAGCGAAAGATCACGTACGTCTCCTGAGTTCTCCCAAAGCATTGGACAGACAAGAGCCACAAAGCATACCACGTGCCTCAAAATCTACGCGAGCGGCTGCAAGTTTGTCGAGGCGTTGATTTGTTAGTAGCATTTGTCCGAGTGCGTTAAACCTGCTAGATCGGCGCCAAGGTTCTTTAACTGCCTTGATGTGCTTGGACTCGGTAATTGAAGAGCAAAGGCCGTTGGGTGCGCCGAAAAGTCGAATCAATAATATGTAGTGGCACAGGGAGTGTTGACGCGGAAGGGAGAATGTCGAGACCACACCGGTTGTCTTGAAGATCTCCCGATATTGGTGAAAGCGGTCAAGGGCATCTTGTAGTTTTATGAGGTCATCTGCAGTGAGAGCCTCGCGCCTCACAATGTAGCAAAATTCTAGAAATGCACTGAATGTGCGCACCACATCTTGAGGGATGTGACCTTCAATTGCAGCTAGATAGACCTAAATACGAGTCAGCTCACATGTCGTTTGGAACGGAATACACAGCATACCTTCATTAATGCCTTTGAGTCGTCACCCGTCCACTGCCGAAAACCTCGCCCATCAGGAAAGCGTCGCAACCCAGCAAATGGGGCAACTGCTGCTATCCTGTATGTTATTAGTAGTTATCAGCAAAACATCATAGATTTGCGTACCTGCGGTCAATGTCATCCATTATCTCAGCCGCATGACGGGTACCGTGTGTGACCAGAAGATACTCTCCCACCCAATCAACCAGATGATCCTTGAAAGTTCCCTTGATTATTTGATGCAAGATATCCGGAGATAGGAGCTCGTGGATGTCCGCTCGAGGAAAGTCATTTGTAAATGGCTAGAAAAGCAAAAGGTGAGATTGGACCTAGCGAGTTTCAGCGAGCAACTTACAGTGAGATCGGCAATGATGCCATACTGTTCCCAAGCCTGTTTGTATGTGAGTTGTTCGACGAGCAACTCGGTATGTGCTTTGCGTCGATGGAGACATGGTTGAGCACCGTCAAGGTCCTTCCTATTTCCTAGACACCTATTTGATAATGAATAAGTCATTGAAAAGCAAAACAAAGTTTGGTGATGCACTGTGGACACCAGTTCTGCACAACGCCAGAGAGAAGTATCTGTTCTGGATAGTCCGCTATGTAAGGGCCCAAGCCGTACACCGTTCGTCGATAGTGGCCATCCGGAAAGCGTGTGACATCGAAATTTTCCATGAAAGGTTTCACAGACTCAAAATCTTCGCAAGAGAGCGCTGGAATAGCTGCTGTCGAAAATTTCTGTACTTGATGTCGTCATTATGTTCCTTCGTAGCTAGACAAATGAAGGTTATGATACAGTGATCCATTGAGAATAACAAGCACCTACATTTTGGTATCGCAAGAAATCCAATGAGCACAACACCATTGCGATGTGCCCGTCGTACGCTATTGTGAATGTTCCTGATTGAGAGATAGAGTGGGTGGTATTCGGTCTGACCAGTAGTGACAGAAACAACAGTCTTATCACTGCCGATAATCAATGGTACAAATGTCGAACCATGATTCTCCTCATTTTGAGCGAGAACATCCTTGAGATGATTGTTAGTATGCCAAAAATGTAAATATGAAAGAGACGTACTGCATGATTCCACACCCAGTCACCAGACATAAAGTTCGTCCAATATCGTTTGTCCTCGGTAGTATAATTGCGGTAGGGTGAATACTCGATTCCTCCATCGAAATCACAGTTTGCCAAAATGCCGCGCATCATCTCCAATGGATCTCTATACCAGACATCATATTGTCCATCCATCCACGGCGGTACATCTTGTTCAGGTTTGGCTCCATTGTAGCACAATGTAAAGCTCTTCCAAGGGGTATCGCCGAGTGGTGTTGCATCAATTGTAGCGTACATGTCCCTATGGTTTGCAAATGGGGGGGCGTCATTGTGCTTTATGAGAGTCGCGGCCCACAAGTCGAGAAGTGTATCAATTGGCCTTGCAGACATTTGATTGCGCGTGAATAAGAATTCCGCCGTCTCAAATTCAACACGATTGTCATAAGGCGTCCAATCGGTTGGGGGGGCATCCGTGTGAGGTGGCGGGGGTGCATCCTGGTCAATAAATGCCCCATTAGCATCGCATTTGAGCCCTAAGACAAAAAATGAGTAACAGTAAGATGAACTCCTTAAAAAATGCCCACCTGTGAGGTGCGGATGGAAAGTACACAATAAGCGCCCCATATCCGCCCAAGTACCTTCCTCAGGTACAAAACCCTGGTCGCCAGCCGGGTCATCATAAATATTCTCATCGATAACACCTGCTGGAGTGGGAGAACGACTCCGTGGAGGTATAAATCCGGGACCTGCGAGCGGAGCTGTGCAATTGAGGTTTTGTATTTGTGGGGTACCGTGCTTCGCATGTGTGTGCTGAGTGAGGCCAGACTTGTTTTTGAAGACCCGATTGCAGTTTGGAAACCGACAAACGAGCCTGGTGACAGCTGGGGCCATGTTGGACAGTGGGTAGTCACAGTGAGATGGATACCAGGGAGCAGAATACGTAGAATGCAGACTAGACTAATACTAAGTGTGTGAATCAGAAATTATGACATGCTCAATCAAAAAAAATATAACTTCACCCATTTGTTGCCACCTTTTGCTAGCATCCATATTCTTTCAACACCTTGCTACCAGCATTCCTCCAACAGCTTGTCCTAGATCTCACCATGCCTCGACCTGCAACGCGCCCAGGGAATGCTAACAAACATCCTGGACAGATAGTTCTTGAAGTGAGTCGTGTAGCACATCCAAAGGATGTAATTGCAGCTGAAAGAAAAAAGGCGTCAGCAGAGAAATCAGCCAAGGAAATCGCCTTAGAAGATGCTCAAAAGAAGGTCGCTGCAACGGAAGATGCTATGGCTGTTGAGCAGACGGCTCAACGTGCTGGCCCAGGACACCTTGTCAGACCAAAGCCTAAGCCGCGCCCAGTGACCAAGGCAGCGCCAACTGCAAACCCCGACAAGATGCGCAAGCCTTATGCAATACAATGCTGTTGCAAGACTTACCAGTTCTTTGACATTTATACAGCTGTTGGGGCAAAACCAGTGTCCAAAAGCACTGACACCCCGAAGAAGAAATATCCAGGCTTGAAACTCACCTTCAAGGATGGTGTCAACGCCAATCGAAAGGTGTCCAACAATGGTACATCATCTACAATGTGCATTGTACTAAGTGCGGGCAGGGGCAGTGACAGTGGGAAAAATCGAAGGTCGTTGTAAGTTCGTCTTAACTGCGATGTTACTCTTATCAGAGCTGACTCTTTATTACTTCGAGATATCTCACTCACTGCAATGTAGGGGATCTGAACACGCCATATCGACAGAGGAGGTGGAAGTGGGGAAGTGGGCTAAAAGCGTGGCATCGAAGTCCCAACGGAAGCCATCTGCGCCACCAAGTGCACGTGCCAGTGGTAGGTTGAGTTTCATGTCTGCACACATCGCTAACAGTTTTTAGTGATTGCAAGCAGGGATGCGGACATATCCGAAGACAAAAACCTACCTGAAGATCATGATGAGAGCGTAACTGTGAGTTGGGGTAGTCAGGTGAGTGACTTCATGATTGTGAATGGGGAATGCTAAAATCAATGCAGGGTGTCGTGCGTATGATTGAGACTGTTGATGATGCCACGAGGGGACGGAAGCGTACCTTGTCCACGACCTCATTGGATGACCTCGAACCCGAAGAGCCGCGTGAAATGGAAGAAGACGATGCCAACGAATATATTCTGGACAAGGATGAGGGTGCGGCTGAGGATGAGGATGAGGATGTTGAGATGACGGATCAGCAGGGTGACATTATTGAGGTAAGTACTGGTGGGTCCTGTGAGATAGATGAATCGCTCACCACTATCATGGATTTATAGGTCTCAAGCAGTCGACTCACAAGCTCTGTATGGAGAATTTGCTCAGGTCGCCTGACAACGCTGACAAATTCCTATGCAGATGTCAGTTAGCGTCATGGATACCACGATGGACGGTCCAACATCCAAGTTTGTCAAAACCGAAAATGGACGTGCGCCACGTACGATACTCAATCTGAAGAAAGAAAAGCCAAAGAATTCTCACTTGCCCAGCGCTGTTCAGAATCTCAGCTTTTGTTCCATATTTATTCCAACGGTCATGCACTGGGTCGGCAACAACAGCTATCCATGGACCATCCCCGATGAGAAACTCTCAGACATTCTCGAGGATATATTCATGGCGGTGTGTAAGCAGCCTGGAGACTTTAGGAATGATGATGGCTGTAATCTTGCCTTCAACGTCGTAAGTAAATTGTATTCCGGTACTTCTAGCTGACAACTATGTTGGCAGGTATGCCAAAGGATCTCTGAATGGAGAGGCAACTTCAGCTCCACCGCTATCACGATTCTCATGGCATTTTTCGCCTCCACGGACGAATTCAAGACCAAGGAGGCACACAAAGACTATGCCGAATATCAACTTGAAGATTCACGCTTTGTATATGAAGATCCAGATAACGAAGACTCACCTGGAGTTTTCTTATCGGAATTCATCTTGCGCATCTTCGCTGTTCAACTCAATGCCACCCAAGGACACCAGATAATTGACTCGCTTGACTTTGGCTTACCTGGATATCAAACGGCCCTTGCACTGACCACTGCAGCCGTGAGTTTTGCAGCACCTTTACAAAACTTGCTAACTTTCATTTGCAGGCTGAGCGTGCACTTATTTTAGCTCGTGACAACCTGATTGTGGAAGATACTTCGGACCACGGGAAACACAAGATCGTGTTGACTCTCAATCAGTCCACAAACAAAATGAGTAACACAGGCACTGCTTTTTCTGCGGGTAATTGGGAGACTGATACACTCGTGTACATGGAACGAATTGAGGAGCTGCCCTTCGACCGCATCAAAGAAATTGTGGAACGATCTCAGGCGTACATGAAGCGTGCTCGCCACAAGGACGAGTCTACTATTCTCGATGGTGAAACCCCCGTCAATCCACGTACACGTATCCGTATCTGAAAGCCTTGTATCGTTTCACTTCAATCTCTGCTCTCGTCAATTGCTGTCCTACACCGTTTTTAATATTTTTTTGTCATTTTCATAGCACGCCTTGACCGCCTTGAACTCGTTGACGTCCTTATTTTCGCCTTAGCGTACTTGGATTATTCTGTGTCTATTGAAATAATAACATGCCTTGACCGCCTTATCCGCTCCTTATCCGCTCCTTATCCTCCTTATTTCCTTAGTTTAAGGAAAGGGATCTCCTTAGTCTCCTTAATTTAAGGACGAAAAACGGCCTTAAAAGTTCCTTATTGAGCAAATTAAGGCAAATAAGGAGCATTTAAGGAACTCGATGTTTTCCTGATGGAGAGGGGGAGGTGGTATTGGGGAGTCATCATCAGCGTCGTTGTACCAAACTATCTCAGTGGCATCTTTCAGTGAGCCATCAGCGCGACGTGCGGACGACATGGTTGCCAAAATTGTGCAACATGTTAGTGTATTTTAACTAAATTCCAAACAAAGTTGATAAGTGATTCACCATACATTATTACCTCGAGGTCTCATTCCATTGCCTTGCCAAATTGTCATGGTTGGCCCAGGTCGGCAACGCCGGAAAACCTCTATAGCACGCACGAATTGGAGTATGGGGTCGATGCGATCATAGCCAAGACTCACTGACGCCCTTGGGCCGCCGCGGACCGAGACGGAAAGAAATGTTATAGCAAAGGAGAGCCGCGACAGTGAGGAAAAAGTGCAAATGATGCCAAACAACCGCAAGATGATCGAAAATAGTACTACTACTATGCCATATGACGCACGGCCGCCTTCCCTTTCCGCTTATCATATATCAGGCGTGAATACCTGAGGCTCAGTGAGCCGTGCCTCACGTCACACCATGTCGTTCTCACAGAAATATCAACAGCTCCCCACCGTCGATAAGGACGCTGGAGAGCAGGAATCTCTGCAACGCAAGGACCCTCGCAAAAGGAGAATTCCTCTCTTCGTCATCGCTACTATTATAATTATCTGTGCTTCCCTCCCTTGTATACGTATGATCAGGTCCAGGGGGCTCTGGGCTGCTTGCCATGGCTCGCAGCGTCACTCTTCGACCTTAGCTAAACTGCCTTCTCATTACACCTTACCATCTGGTGATAAGATTCCCTCAGTTGCATTGGGTACGGCACTGGTAAATTGCTTATCAAGTTGGTCTTCAACTCATTATTGATCATACAGGTGTATGGCAGGCTGGCAAGGGCGAAGTTGGCAATGCTGTGACGGCACGTACTCCCTACTTCCTCGAGTACTTATGCTCACTCAGGCTTGCTTTCAGACTGCTTTGGCGGCTGGTTATAGACACATCGATGGAGCCTGGATTTATCGTGTGCGTCTTATACCCTTATCGCAACGAACTCCTTTGACGATAGTTGCAGAATGAAGAGGAAGTTGGTCAAGCTATTAAAGCAAGTTCTGTACCTCGTGAAGAGCTCTGGCTCACGTCAAAGGTACTGGTGCCTTCGGTATAACCATGATCTCTCACTGATTTGGAACAGCTTTGGAACACTTTCCACGCACCTGAGGACATTGAGACCACACTAGACCAATCGCTTTCCATGCTTGGTACCGACTATCTCGACTTGTACTTGATCCACTGGTGCGGTAGTTATTCACTCACTTGAGCGTTTTTCTGATTCCCAACAAGGCCTGTCGCATTTAAGAAGGAGGGAAATAATATTTTAGACGAGGATCTTACTGCCGATCCATATCCTACTTGGCAAAAGCTCGAAGAGCTTGTCGACAAGGGTAAAATAAGGAATATCGGTATTAGCAAGTGAGGCCTATCTTTGTCGAGTCGGACCGGTGCTGACATGTTACCCATAGTTTCAATATCAGAAGGTTCGAGTTATTTATGGTCTATTCAATCTTGCTCAAATTCCTCGTTTACAATCCAGGATCCAGAATTTGACTGCAAACAAGCTAAAGTACCAGCCAGCTGTTAATCAAGTCGAGCTCAACTTTTGGAACCCTCAACCCGAACTCTTGAAGGTATGTTTCCGGTTCAGGCATGTAGACACTTGTGCTCGAGCTCATGAGCAATCCGTAGTGGTCGAAGGAGAACGGGCTTCTTCTCGAGGCGTACTCTCCCCTGGGTAGCGACAAGCAAGTCGGAAATTCCCTCTCTATCCCTGAGGTACCATTTCACGTCACGAGGACTGGACTCCGTCGTCTAAACACTCTTACAGGTCAAGGACATCGCATGCAAACTTGGGGTCACCCCGGCTCAGGTTATTATCTCGTGGAGTGTCCAGCGCGGTGTATGTCGAAATTTCTGCGCTATTATACCGTAACTCACTTTTCCAAACCTCGATAGACGATCGTCCTGCCGAAGAGCGTAACGCCGTCTCGCATTGTAGAGAACCTCGAAGGTGAGAAAGTCCAAACTTTCGTGAGGCAGTACATGGTATTCACTCACTCCTTCCAGTATTTGAAATTCCACAAGAAGACTTTGAGTTGTTGGAGAAAGCGGCAGGTTCGCACCCTCCGCAGAGGGTGGTCAACCCAAGCATGGGTTGGAAGTTGCCTTTTGATGTGTTTGACGGGCAGTGAAATATGCGTGCTCAATAAATGATTTTTACTACTGTACCACCTCTAGGTTCTTACAGTGCAGCGTTGTTAGCAATAGTCCAATTAGCAAGCTTCCAGAAAAAGTTGTCCATCACTACTCACTAACACTGCCGAAATGCAAAAATAGCGCAAGTCCGTCTGAAAGGTACAATAATCTAGCCCCTTCTGCTAAGGGAAATTTGACGTTTTACTTACCAGCTTGGGTTTCCATACAGACATCCTGCAATTGAGGCTGACTCAAGGCTAGCTTGATGATCATGATGGAACGCAACACCGGCCGAAAGGTGACATGGCTACAGGCTGCACCAGGTAAGGAGCGAGTTGATAAAAAGTGCAGTTGCACCTCCGGTGCCAAAGACAGCTAATTCTAAGGAACTTTCTGGGATCAACTACCCCCAATACAGCACGCGGTGACACGCTCTACCGCCTACAAATGTGTTGAAGAGTCAAAAATATCGAGTCCGAACATAGACAGGGAAGAAAGGTATGAAGTGGAGAAGAAATAAGGAATAGTTGTTACAACCATCACAGTATACTCTTGCATATAGGAAGATGTACGTAGAGGGAGTTTCGGGGCTCGAGCGCTTCGCTTACACAGCACTTCACTTGTGAAACGAACACAAAGAAAAATCGGACGCACCTTGAAAGATCACTTGGATGAAAATTTGCCCAGCCTTCACTATCTGCATTGTCTCACTACTAATCCATCCCTCACATCGGTGATTGGAGTGCATGTGAGTAACTTGATCTGACCAGCATTTCTCGGGAGTAATACTATGAGCTCTTTCGCCAGAAAATTGGCCCTTGCCCATTCTTGAAAAACGGCGCAGCAACTCCTGGGTATATAGTGCAAAAACCCTCCTTTGAGGCAGGCCTGAATTCCTGTAGTAGGCTTTCCCGTGAGCGAGGCCTCGTGTATCAACACAAAAGGATTTGCATGTGGACGTACCAACTTGTCAGATAACCTGTTCTAATCCAAATATCCCGGCAAGCCTCGTCTACTATATAGATCTCGAACGTCAACCATGTCTTCCATGACCACTGGGATGCAATAGATGCCGGTATTCACGCCATCTAAGAGTGCATGGTCATACCCGCCTGGTATGAGGTGTTGCGCACCTGTCAGGTGAACGATGCATCATTATTTCAGATGTTGCTTCACTTCGACTATAGGACTTAGGAAGCAGCGAACAGATCGGAAACAACTGGCGAGATATGGCGAGTATTGAAGTAGCAGTGTGCACTATAGCACTGTCTCCAAACGGCAAGACGGTTGGCAGCGGGAGCCGTAATAAGAGAGTAAAGTTGTAGGAGGTCAAGACGGTGGAGGTCATCGTTGAATGGACTAGACACGCTTAGATTGTGCTGGAGTCCAGACGGTGAGTGACTGGCGAGCAGATCCAAAGATAGGACAGCAAGAATATGGGATATGACATGTGAAGCTTTGAAGACCGGCGGTCGTTGGACCAATCAAGACTGAGTACTGAGCACAAGTGGGTGTTCGCGGCAACGTTGAGGTGCAGGCTGACTCCGTGAGAATTAAACGGCGCCAATTGCAACCGACTCGTTTACATGTTTTGTGTTCGAGCCAGTCTTTTTATTTCATTTTGCGTTGGCAAACGACGCTAATCCTATGTGATTCTACTGTCAATGCATGATGTTCATTGTTCTTTGACTCGTACTACAGACGTCCATCTGATCACTCTTACAAGTGGCGAGCGTGGCTGAACAGAAATCTGTTGCAGGTTCGAAACCTGCTCAACAATCTTTTTTTTCCTTTTATCACGCCTTGAACATTCACTCATGGATGGATCCTTCAAGGTCTATCTTCAGTAGTCATAGCCAACTGGCACCAGAGCAGATTAGAAATCCTGTGGATTCAAAACCTACCGACGAATGTCTTATCTTGACATTCACTCACAGTGGATAGTTCTTCGATCGGAGGGTCATCTTAACTTGCGAGAAGCGTCCTGGCCAAACTGATTACCACAGCAGTGAACAGAATCGAAATCTGTTTGTCTTGGAAGGTCCTGGACTGCGCAGGTTTGAAACCTGCCGACAACAAGTTCCCCCCCCCCGAAACACACCTTGACATTCACTCATGGATGATTTCGTCGGAGGTTCATCTAACTGATATTAGCTAAGTGGTTACGCAACAGAATCGAAATCTGTTTGGACTGCGCAGGTTCGAAACTTGCCGATCAACACTTTTTTACCCATTGGGACATACCTTGAAGATATCATTCGCTCATGGATGGTTTCCTCGGAGGTACTTCAAATTCCTGAACCCGAAAGGAGGTTAAGCTCTTGGTTTTGATATTGGCTGTGAAATGTATGGGTGTCGACTCTCCTATTGATTAGAATATTGACCGGGACACCCAGAAGCCCTATCCTGTCCGACTGCCAGATTACTGTCGTCAATGCTGCGGTTTGCAGTACAGTACTGTCTGCTTCGCTTGATGCTCCTGCACGTTGAATTCATTGTCTTGGCACAAGTTGAATTACCAAGAAGTCGTTCGTGCGCTGGACGGGTGGCGTCAATGTCGCCGCGAGTCACCTCCGAGCCACAGCCCATTGCTACTGCTGAGCACTTAGTGACTTTGCCATGTAAGCTCTGTCTCTGGCTTATAGGAAACTTACAAACGCCCAGTCTTATACTTGTTGCAGACCCAGCGTTTGGCAACTAAGCTATCACCTGTGATATGGCGTCTTAGCTTAACTCCTTGTGTCGTCTTTAAGTACTTCGAGCTGCTACCACATCTCGGTCATCAACTAGCGACTTCAAGCTATGTCGCGACCTTGGATTAGTCCTAGAGTGGCCTACCTCACTCCGGGTTCGTTTTCTGTCATTTTTTCAACCGCTTCTTCCGTCATCATCACAGAACGTCTGACCTCTCTACAGGGCCTTCGAGTCTTCCCATGACTTTTTTTGGTGGTGGCTTTGAGTGCAGCGCCTCTGGGGTTTGCAGCTGATGTTCTCGCGGACTCAGATATCGCAGCGACGAAAGGCCACTCGACTTGGTGCCAGACCCATTCCTCGTGTCCAGCCAAATGGCCTGGAAATGGGTCGACCTGGCCAATGACTCGAGAAACCGCTCGACACCTTATGCCAAGGCAAGTCTCCCTATGACATGCTTTGCAGCCATCTAAATACGTTCTCCCTCGCAGAGTTGTATGTGGGTCAAGATAGAAGCTGTAGATGATGTCGAAATCATACAGTGACCAAATACGACTTTCGTGCAATATGCCGACATGTCATATTACCAGTATTTTTGTTTTGCAATTTTGAAGTGTAAAGTTTCCACGTGAACAAAATGTCGTTTGTTCAATTACAATTATGAGTAGCCTTTACAGTAAACATCGAAAGTAATATATTTTAGGACATACTTCAACGAATGACGTGCCATGGATACAACAGACCCTACTCACAACACCCTATTATCCCAAACAACCAACACCTAGACTCCATCGACTCCGAATATATACTTCAAATAATATAAATATTCACAGTGAGTATGAGCGTCAGATGAATACATGATCATTTTAGTTGGAGACGGCAGAGGTAGACGAAGTAGTTGCGAAGCCGACTCGGTGTTTAGTGGTGTCGTAGACAGAGTAGAAGCGTTGACTGTAGGGCAAATAGTCAGCTTTATACCAATCGAGGTCACGTAAAATACAGACAGGAATGAGTAACCGTTGACGAAGTCGAGACCAGTGCCAGAGTTGGAACCGATATCACTAACGACAAGGTAGATGTTGTTGCTGCTGCCACCGATGTCAGTGTTAAGGGAGCGGGGCCAGATTTGGCCGTTGGGGGTGAGGCCGTAGGAAGTACCACCGATCTTGAAGTTCAGGGTTTGCAGTTTAGAATACTGAGCAGAGGTGATCATCAAGAGACCAGTATTGTTATCTAACATGCCACCAGTAGCAGACTTGTACTTGTTGAATGCATCTAGTACTCTCCAGTCAGTTGGAGTGACCCATTTATAAGTAACTTGTCATACCAGTGGCGATGAGAATGAGGGTTGTGCCGGTGTCGACGATACCAGCAGTCGCGGACAAAATGGTGGAGCTACCATAGGTGATCGATTGATCGATACCCCAGTATTGGCTAGAAGGCGACGTGGTTGTGAGAGGGACGTATTTCACTGAGCTCGTTGTCTTTGAGCTGTCGAAGCCACCAAAGGTGAGCTCGCCAGCGCTGCCACCAGGAGCAAAGTAGACTCCGAGTGCCTCGGTTCCAATGGTACCCTTACTGTAGAGGTTGTCGGTGACAGTGGGGACTGAATCAACATTGGAAACGGTGCCCTGCGTCAGGTCAGTCGGTCCGACACCAAGAATTCCATCAACAAGATCAAAGCCTTGTACACTGCTTGCGACCCCAATAGATTGTTTGGTAATGACCAAAGCAGAACTGAGAGTGACTGTGTCCAAGTATTCCTCTCCGGAAAAACTGCCGGTACCATAAGAGACGGACTAAAGGGTTGTTATGAGCAGCTATTTAGCAGAGGGCGCGAAAAGACATACGACAGAGTCACCAGTAGCCACACTAGTATTTGTGTGTTTGTATGCAGTTTTTGCGCCAACCCAGGTATTGGAGCTTCCCGTATCAATGAGGAGCGTGTCTGAGAATCATTTTAGTCGAAAATATCTCAGGTCACCCGATGGCGAGTCTTACACTGAGTTGCAGGGCTGCCGATACCAACTTGGGCAGTGTATGACGTGACAGCACTAGCTATGCTGAATGAGGAGCTGCTGGCACGCTTGTTGATACTAGGATCCTGCATCGCCTGAGCACGAGCCCTGTCAGCGTCAACGATTTTGACATTGTTAGCCCTGGCGTTCATCCTAGCGGTGAAGGCAAGGGTCGGCGCAGCTTCACGACGCAGGGGGGATGCGTCTACAGCGGACAGCGCAATAAGGAGCGTAGAAAGGAGCGTCTTAGAAGGGAACATCTGAAGGTACTGGGTGAGGAATGAGATCAACTGGAATTGAGGCTTCAATCGTCAGTGCAAAGACTTTATATACGTCCTGACCTCCGACTTAACCATGCGACACCCACAGTCTCAAGTCAGGTAAGATACGGGACTTGCTGTATTTCGGTCCCATCCTATACGGGGGTCACGGGATATCGATGAGAAGTCTCCGAAAACAACATTGCTGCACGCCGTCGTCACCGGAAAATGATTCATTGCTATAGAAATCAGAAAGCCCAGAGGTTCATTTCGACAACCGCTTAGTAGTCGCCCAGAGGATTTACCTGGATTTACCGGACTGTGAGCATTATGATATTTCGGTTCGCCATCATGATCGAGTACGTTGCCTACCACGGTCTGGCCAGAATCGGTGCAAAGAACATAGCATTTCGCCTATCAGACGGAGCTTGCGGAGGATCCTAACTTTGTCCTCTGCTAACCAGGACATGTCAAGATGGCCGGTATCGCCACTGGGAACGAATTTCGAAATCACTCATGCCTGATGATCTCACGAATTGCGGCTCAGAGACCTAACGTGGCACGCACGTTAAGTCTGGCAGTAGAGTCCCGAAAACCCGATTATCATGATGTTCATACAGCCACATCGTTTATGCGGTAATCGAAGGCTGCCCACGCGCTGTACTGAGTACTGAAAATTGAATAGTGCTGGACAACGCACTGTTACGAATAATTTTTGTTGATCGTAAGAAACTTGAGAGTGCCATCATCAAGCCCGTTGACAAGCCAAGTTGATTTGGTAGCAGTCATATGGGTAAAGTTTATTACTGAGTAATGGGTAGTAAGGGTGATATGTACATTTGTAACTCAGCGAAGATCATAACGATTTTAATTGGCTAGATTATATAAGATGTGATCGTTGACTCGAAAGACCTGATCAAACATTTTGCAACACAACAACCATCATGAGCGCGATGGTAAATACATTCCATTCTTTTGGGGGCCGGGCTGAATACAAGGTCTCCGTGTTCAGTGTTCATCAACGTCACCGGCCTGCAGGTAGCAGTCAATCAACTTTTGGATGCGGTGGATGCGGGCACTAATTTGAGATGAGCGTCGAGTCCACTCCTCAATTTAACCACGATATCTATTGGCGTCCTCATGACCTCGAGATCATTAATATTGATAGTGCACCTGCGGTGTGGGCCCCGGGTGGCACGATTCGTCGGCCACCATTTTGATCTAGAACGCACTTCCACAAATTCACCGACGTGCTTCGATCGCCTTTGCATCCATGTGCTCGAAATGAGCTTTTAATAGCGGGCGGATCTATGTATAATGTACGTCTTACGAGGGGGGCGTCGGAAGACCTTTTTTCGAAACGAATACAAGGTGATCGGGCGATGCGATCGATGCGGGGTTAAAGCACTTGCTGTAGAACTCCAGTGCACTCTGAATCTCTTTCTCACACAGCCCTCTCCTCATCTCCGATGCATCATGCACCCTGGATCATTACATTGCAATATTTTCATCATTCCGTACTGTGTCATCAATTTTATCATGTAGAAAGGAGAGAAACTAACCAGCAGCACCACCCAAAACCAAATGAAGGCCAGGTCGTAGCTCGAAGCGTAATATCAGTAGGTCCGAGTCGAGTCGCCCAAGTGAAAACCTCCTCGTGCGTCATTCACTGGCAGTACCGAGGCGAGTACTACTAAATGCGGAAGACCAGGAGTGATCTTCCAGAGGACTGCCTTCCAAGGCGCAGACTTCCTTGTCATAGCTCGCTTGATTTATAACGATGGCGATCGAAGTTGTTCCCTCATTCACAAGCCCAGCCGGGTTTGTCTGATGATAATATCGATACTTACTCAATTGTCGAAAATACGCCATGGGCATATCTGTCAGTGCCTCAATCATGGGGTGCCCTCTTTTGTTGTTCACGCTGCCCATACTAACTCCCATCTACTCCAAAGCGTGATGGCCCATTCGAATGACGGCTGGCCTACCTTCGCGAGTTGATTGTGTTACGACCATTGTTAAACAAGTATATTTGCTTAAGCTTTCCGGTTTACTAAAATGATGTAAACTTAGCGGTGGGCCCGTGGCCCTTCAGATGATCGGACAAACCTCTCAAAGGAAAGCAATGTCATGCATCTTCCGACTACTGGTAAATCTAGCCCTCTAAGTTGTGCTTTCTGAAAGTTATATCCATCTCAATCATTTTCCAGAACTTGTCTATTGAAATATGCTCATCCTCATCACACATGTAGCATATTGTCCGACAGCAAATTTTCTGCAGCTTTTCTTGATTGTTGCCCTGGCCCGCTACTTCCCAAAGGATACCGCTGATGCATGTACGATTAGTATACCTTTGGTACATTCTTCAAATGATAGTACACGACATTAGTACTTGTGGACAAGGTTGCTGACGGCGAAGCTCGGCCTTTATCTAGTACTGCCATTCGCCTACAATAAACTACAATTCGGATGAAGAGTGTCAAAGTGTGCGACATGCTCCCAAGGCGTTCCATAACAAGTGGCAATATCTGCGGGGATGGCCGCAAGAACGGTCGTCCGGGAATGGCATGGCTTCCCAGTTCAAAAGCTGCTCAAGTGCTGTACATCTAGTCGTCGGCTTCAGAATAAGGTACACGTGCATTGTGACTTTTCATATCAGTTTAGAATACTGGGGCGCGGTACGCCTCAACACATTTGAAAATTAAAAGCTGTGCCATATTAATCAATGTCTGGAACTATAGGCCGCTCCTGTGGCTGCTTTTCCACATATGCAGTGGAGCTCATTAGAAAATTGTATTGCTTGCCATCGCCCTGAATGGGATCAGGTCTCAGCAATCTGACACAACAGAGCGCTGATTTGACTTACGATGAATGTGGAGGGGAAGCCGGGATCGAAAGGAACGATGCCCTCCAAATACTTCATGTGCTCGGGTGTTAGCGAAATCGCCAGAGACTCCAAGTTGGCCTCCAACTGCTCCACCTTTCGCCCACCAATGATTGGGAACACATAGGGTGTCTTCTGCATAAGATATGCAATGGCCACAGCTGTGATGTGCTTCGCACCGACTTCTTTCGCGACCTTCTCGAGCGCTGCGCTCATCGCCTTCTCTGTCTCGTTGCGTTCCCAGTTGGGATTAGTAATCGTGCGGCCTTTCTCTCCTGTCTGCCGGCGGCGCTCCTCTTCTTGGTCGGTTCGAAGTTTTCCACCGGCAAGGACGTTCCAAGGGGCAAGCGCAAGACCTATGCATGGGCGAACGTGAGTTGAGGCACCAGATAACAAGAAACAAGGCTGATCTACCTTCGGAGCGGGCCATTGGTATGATATCCCGTTCAAAGTCCCGAAGCATGACGTTCCAAGCACCTTGGTAGATCACGAACGGTGTTTTTCCATGATCCCGAGCATACTGGTTCGCTTTGGATACGACCCAAGCAGGAGAGTCCGAGATGCCCTGCCAGCGATGCATGTTAACGAATGTTGGTGTCAGCATAGAAACGGGGACACTTACGAGATACAACACTTTCCCTTGTTCTACCAGTACATGCAGACCGTTCATGACCTCTTCGACGGACGTGTCCCAGTCCCACCAGTGTACGTACAAAATGTCGATGTATGAAGTCCTCAGCTTCTTCAAGCTGGCCTCGACGCTGATGTGCATTGACTTGACGTTGTTACCGGTATATGATACCTTCTGGCGAAGGGCGTCGTTGCCGCGCTGGTAATTGGTCGTGTACTTGAATATATATTAGCATCGAACTATATTCACCAAATCTCAAAGTCACCTTTGTAGCGATCACGAGCTGGTCACGTATCTCCCGTTGCTCTGCCCACTCTCCGATGATCTCTTCAGAGGTTTGATCTTGGCTGAGAGGTTGCGAAGTATGTCAGCGACAACAACAAATTCAAGATGACTGTGACATGATACGTACTAGTTATTAGCAGTGTCGATGAAATTTCCCCCAGCATCGTAGAAGGCGTCGAGGAGCTTGAATGAGGATGTCTTGTCCATACTACCCATCCCAAACTTCTCCCACTTATCACCGATGCTCATGGCACCGAGTTGCAAGGGCGAGACATGGACGCCGGCACGAGGGGATAATACGCGATATCGCGCTAGCCTAGATGATGGCTTTGGAATGGGTGACCAGAGCGCAGTAGACATGATTGTAGAGTTGATTGAGGCTGGTGTTGTTAAACTGCAGTTTCTCCGAAGGCTGGCAGCATTTTATAGATGTTTTCCAGCTTGGCACCTCATCATCACCATCGTGTAATCACTATATGATGCCAGAGAAACGCGTCAGTTGTCTGTTTAAGTTGTGCCGCACAAACGGAAGTCAGCCTGCGTATGCCGGAGATTCGGAGTACTATAAGCCAATATTATAAAGACACGTACCGGTTATTGTACCGCTAACCCCACTCCGGGGGTATATTCATATTTTATGTTACTCACGCAGGCTGATACGTGTCGCAGTACTTAAAATATACAAAGAGTAAATTTCTCAGGAGGTACATGATAGAATGGCATCTGTGGGATCATCGAGTCACCTCTCCAGCAGAATGCTGACGTGAGCTGCACAGCCTATGCAACTAATCGAAAAGCGCGCTGCATCCTCAAGAAACCAGCACTGAATAATTTCGCATGCCCAACACCAATTTTTGTGAGGATCAACCTATCACTCACTTTCTCGCTGAAATTGTCTGCTGTTAGGCTCACGGTGCTTCAGGAATAGAGTACACACCCCGCTCCTCACAGGTGTCACGACCAATTCGTAGATGTCAACGAGCTCTCAGCTCTCATAGGTTCATGTGCGTCATCGGCATTTTTGTCAATTACTTCTTGTCCTAATCTCTGCACTCTTAGGCAACGCGTGGTGCCCACCTTCAGTCTTCTGCCAGTGCACAATTAGCTCGCCTTTCCACCACTCTCGACCTGACAATGATGAACCGACCGAACTTCCGCAACCCCTAACGACTTGGGGGTTACATCCTCGTTTACTCCTGTCCGCCGCTCTCCACCCGAAAGCAGCGGTGCAAATGAGTTTTCGCGATCCCCCATGCTTTCAAGAAGTGCCCCTCAGCCACCTATTCTCATTTTTGTTCCGCTCTCGATCCAATTCCAACGGAGTCACCGAACCTCAACAATCCTCAACGCCTTCGAGTTCAGGTCCAGACGAACACACACTTCCACTCCCCACCACGCTTCTGTTCCTAACACAGTGCATGCTGTTAGTATGAATGCCGTGTATGTAATTTCATGACGCACATCTTCACCTCGGGCCTTCGCGTGCTGCACACCTCGGCCGCCTGAAGCCCAATCGGGAGACACCAACACTACCAGTGATACGGAGTGAGATCCATGTGAGCTTCCTATGCCCGTCTTTGGCATGAGGAAAACGATGGTCAAATTTGAGGCGGTATGGAGGATAGTGCCGATGTCTATTGGGTGGGGCAGAATTTGGAATGCTACACTGAGTGACGGTATAGTGCACTACCTGTAAATATGCTGAAGAGTTAGAAAGAAGCTCTGCAAGCTTGAAGGGTTCGAAACAACCATCAACGTAATCCTTCACATGTTCGATGATGAAATTGGCGCCCAGGATCCAAGCATCATCTATACAGCGCTTAAGATGTGAGTGGTTTAGTGAGCCGGCATCATAATCCTTCTCGCTCGAGTATGTTCAATCCTGAGTCCTGATTTCATCCATTCGTCCACCGCCGCTCACACTGAGAACTCGACACTCAGGATGTTAAATAGAACTAAACGCATCTCCCACCCAAAAAGTAGTCCCATAAGTTAAGCGTCTGGCGAACTCTACCAAACCCACCAGTCATCTCGTACAATACACACCTTGCTCGACGAACGACGTGGAGTAAGCCACCGGGTAAGGTATCACGCCGTACACTCAGAGGGTGACACGTCGGACATAGGAATTTGCTTAAAGGCGTCAGAACCATGTGTCTGTTGTTTCATCTGCCAGAGATGGCGGTGCATGCGCGTGGCGAGAATCGCAAGGATCATGAACTGGAAACTGTACGTGGGTGTGCATTTTGGGCATTATTAGTAAAATTGCGCAGAAGGTTGTGGAGGTGCATACTCGTGCAATATGGCGTGGTAGGAGTACTAGGTGCGCGGAACATCAACAGCTCTATCGTAAAAGGTATTCGGGAGATACACGCACATGGAGGAGTAGCGATGTGAATACGTTCGCCACTGATAACACTTCAGGAAAGAGGATGATCATGGGTGAGCACGGATCACGGCGCATGCGAGTATTAACTCACAAAAACCACATATATAATAAAATATGTTATGTCTCACCAGGACAACATACAAACGGCTTGGGTTTATCCGCCAGCTCTGTATGGCGCGTATGAGCGTGAGGGTCATGAGCCCTGGGGAAGTATCTGTCATCGTGTGCTTGTACATGTGTATGCTCCTGGTCACTCACCCAGTTCGAACACGGCAAGGAGGAGAAACGGTATGAAGAGCCGGAAACTAGTCGAACTCTGGTAGCACCCTGTGATGCCCGGGATCGTGCTAGTCGCATCTGTGATTGTTAAATGGTGGTGGAACGGCAGGGGGGAGATGTGAGCGCGTACATGCTGCGGGAGCAGTAGTGGTGAAGACAATGCCGATGGATGCTCCGATAAAACTCTGGTTGATGCATCTACAGCTGGCTTTGGTGTGGACAAGTGGACTTGAGACTCACGAGAACGGTAACCAGCATGGCTGCGAGCAATATTCTATTGTTGTTCCAGAGCGCGCATGTTCTGAGGACGAAAAAGCCTGGATGAATCCGATCAGGAACATATATATCTTGAGGGAGGAAGGACATACCTTCGGAGCAAACAGCTGATAGTATGCCGAAACCTATGAGAAAAAGCGGGTTGCCCTCAGCAAGGCTGTGCATAGATGGATGTACCACACACGTACCTATGTTAATATTGTCCAACACCCGACATTTCTGGAGAAGTCATGCAGTAAGCAACATTCGTCTCTCAATCTCCACCGCATGTTCACGTACACCTGGAGTTTCATTCGGGATAAAACTCACTGCACGACAACGTGTTAGTTCATCTCGGACGATGTGCGCTGGAGCTGGACGTACAATACAGATTTGTGGCGAGGATGAGGAAGGGGATATATCGCGTAGCGATATAAAGGCCTTTCACCTTGGTCCAGTGCGAGTCGAGCAGGAATCTCCACTTCGAACAGACTCGTATTAACATTAAAACCGAGGCGTATCACGGAACGAGTACATTACCTCTTCGTGAAGCGAACAAACATAATCATAGGTCTGGATAAGGGAGTTTTAACAACGGAAGAGAATTTGTCAGGACAAGCCCACCCAGAATGTAGTTATCGAAACTGAGCTGCGTTAGTAGGTCAATAAAGATAGGGGTTCAGGCAGTACGCACTGTAAATATACTGACGCGCACATGGATTGCTTAATATTACCCGCCCTCATACCGACAAGAAAGAAACGCACCGCGAAGAACTGCAAACTCGTCGCTGCCACGATATCGTCAGCCGAATAGTCCATCCGCATTCCTGGTCGTTCAAGAGGTGACAATTGACGAGTTTACCGCCCCCTTCTGAGCTCTTATAATCTACACAATTAGGTAATTCTTGGCAACACAAAGTTTGATTCGGAAAATCGGATGTGCTCATTTGTACTTGTCCCTGCTTCCAAAGCAGCCAATCATCAGAGGGACCTAGAGGGGTTTTCAAAACTCTAATCCGTGAGATTAACTACCCCCAATACCTATTCGGCCCTCGTTGGTTTTTTGGGCTCCGGGTATGATGGGAGTCATGACTTTGATGCTGAGCCGCCGCTGTCAAGTTCTAAGCGAGATGTCGCAGTGCAGACAGTACGGAGTGGGCCGCCACTGATCAGTCAGCCGATTTCCACTCCGTTCGACATAATGACAGGAAAACAAACGTGTTGTACACACGAGTTCATTGATGCTGTGTAGCTTCTGATCTATTAGAACTCATAAACTGCGATTATGCGCGAATTCTGGAGCATTGTACTACTACCTGAGGTCAGTAAATACAGACAATTGGAGTTGTGAGTTCGTACACACCCTTCCTTTCATAGACAACTCGGAGGTTTAACTGTTAGGCACGTTCATGATGAACGTTCAAGTGATCGATGCGATCAAAAACGTTCCCCAAATTAAAAGTCGTGTTCACGTAACCAAGCCGTACTACGTGACTTGTTTGGCAGAAGCTCAGTAAGACCAAACAACACCTCGGCAAGCTATTGCAATGAACCAGCCAAGTAAACCTAAATACCTCAATTGAATTGCTTCTACAACAAGTCAAATACACCTTTTGTTCATATAAAATCTCGCTCAGCCTCTGAAAAGACGACATCCGATGGAAAGACTAAGAAAGTCGATACTTGTCCCTGCTAGGCCGCATCAGCTCCGTTCGACACAATGACAGGTCAACAAACGTGTTTTACCCACGAGTTCATTCATATTGTGTAGCTTCTGATTTATTAGAACTCATAAACTGCAACTATGCGAATTCTGGAGCGTTGTACTGCCTGAGCGTCAGTAAACTCAGACGATCGGAATCGTGAGTTTGTCTTCTTTAGGCACGTTCAATGTGATCAAAACCGTTCCCTAACCTGCAGTGTTTTCGGAACGTTCAAGTTCGCGACCAGCCATACGGGACATATTCGTGTGGCAAAAGCTCATGTAAAACCAAACAACACAAACATCGGCAATCAGTGAAACAGCCAAAAGTTAACCTAAACACTATGGAAAGCGGGAGTGATCAGCGCTCAGCTTCGGCTAAGCATCTAATATGATATTTGTTTGGTCAAAGGGCGGGTCAAAAAGTGTCGCATCAAGGCGGGATGCCGTGACATCCCCACCCTACAACTAGACAAGCCGCAAGGTACAAATAACTTATCTAGTGGAGTGGGACAAATTTGCCGACAGTGTGGGTGGTCCTAGATATCGTCCTATCATATCAGTTACGTCTCGCCAATTCGTGGAGCTTGGTGTACTATAGTGGACCCGTACCATGATGCTCATCGCCGTCAGGCTGTGCGTCTGGCTCTAGCACACTCAAATCCTGATCCGCCGCCACTTACAGTGGAAACCACGGAAATTAAACAGACCAAGGTCATCCACATGCCCCTCCCGCCCCACACAAGACCTGTCCTACAAGTTAAGCACGTAGTAAAGTCTACCAAATCCACCCCCACCAGTCATCTCGTATGTATAGTCCAAGCTTCACTCCACGAAGATACCGAATAAAAATAAACCACAGGATAAGACATCACGCCGTGGAATCTAGAGGTGACATGTCCAACATTGGAATACCCGCAAGGGTGCCAGAGTTGTGTGAATGTCGATTCACCGACATCCGCCAGAGGTTGCGGTGCATGCGCGTGGCGAGGATTGCGAGAATAATGAACTGGAAACTGTACGTGGGTGTAATTTTGGGTATTGTTAGTAGGAATGCGCAGCAGAATGTGGAGGTACACACTCATACAACATGGTGTGGTAGGAGTACTGGGGCGCGGAACATCAACGGCTCGATTATAAAAGGCATCTGGAGGATTCACGCACCTGGAGGAGCATCGATGTGAATATGTTCGCCACTGAGAACACTTCAGGAAAGAGAATGATGATGGATGAGCACGGAAAAAACGGCGCGTGTAAGTGTTAACTCACAAAAACCACATGTATAATAGAATATGTTATGTTTCACCAGGACAATGAACAGACGGCTTGGGTTTGTCTTCCAGTTCTGTATGGCGCGTATGAGCGTGAGCATCAAGAGTCCTGGGGAGATCATTTGTCAGTGCGTATTTGTGTATATATATGCTCCTGGTCGCCCACCCAGTTCGAATGCAGAAAGAAGAAGAAATGGTATGAAGAGTCGGAAACTGGTCGAACTCTGGTAGCACCCTACGATGCCCGGGATTGCGCTAGTCGCAACTGTGAAAGTGAACAAAATTGTTGAATGGTAGTGGAACGGCAGGGGGGAGGTGAGAGCGCGTACATGCTGCGGGAGCATTAGTAGTGAAGGCAATGCCCATGGATGCTCCGACAATACTCTAGCTGATGCATCTACAGCTAGCTTTGGTGTGGATGAATGGATTTGGGACTCACGGGAATGATAACTAGCATGGCTACGAGCAAGATTCTATTGTTGTTCCAGAGTGCATATGTTCTGAGGACGAAAAAGCCTGGATGAATCAGATCAGAAACATACATATCCTAAGGAGGAAGGACATACACTCGGAGCAAACGGCTGACACTATACCAAGACCTGTGATAGGAAAATAGTAACACTTAGCAAAGACGTGCATACATGAATGTACCATGCACGTACCTGAGTCAACAACGTCGAACACCCGGCATTTCTGGCGAAGTCATGCGGTAAGTCGTTCGTTCGCATTAACTCTCCACAGCATCACATACACCTGGGTTAACATTCGGAGTAAAGTTTACTGAAGAACAAGTGTTAATTTACCATCGGGGCGATGTGTACCGGAGCAGGACGCACTATATAGTTTCTCGGTGAGAAGGATAAAGGGGAGGTATCGTGTAACAATGTACAGGCATTTCACCTTGCTCCAGTGCGATCGAAGTAAAAATGACCACTTTGCACAGCATATCAAAACCGAGGTGTATCACGGAACGGGTATATTACCTCTTCATGGAGTGAACATGCATAATCATATATCTGGGCAAGCGAGTTTAACAGCGGACGTGATAGATCAAGATAAACCTACCCAGAATGTGGCCATCGACGCTGAATTGTGTTAGGGCAAAGAATAAGGTCTTCAGACAGTACGCACCGAATACGGACTGATGGAACATGAATTGTCAAGTATTATTTGCCCTCATATCGACAAGAAGACACACCGTAGCGATCTGCAAGCTCCTCGCTGCTGTGATATCGTCAGCCGAATACTCCATCTTCTAGAGGTTGTACACTGGAACAGCCTCAGCGAGTGATGAGAAACGTTAGTATCTCCCTGGAATACTCTAGTTAGTTACTGTGTATTGTGAGCTGCGAGTATGATATACCTCAGCGAGTGATGAGAAAACGCTGAGGTATGGCCAAACGACGATGGGATGCGCGTTATATATACTACGTTATGTAACGGTCAGGTGGCCTGACGGCGCACTGTACAGTAACAATAGATACCAATAAGGTGAAGGTGCGAAATACAAAAGAGCACCAAGATGTGAACGGAAGTATAAAAAAAATGTACCTAATAAAAGCTTCTGAAGGTGGGAGTTCGATGCATCATCATCGCTTGAAACACGAATCTACCTCGGAGCAACCAAAAGGAACTGTCAGAGCTCTAATTTGAGAGATTAACTGCCCTCCAGTACTAGTACTTACTCAGTTGTCGTTGGTTTTTTCAGTGTCCTGTTTTGAGGTAATTTCTACAACTTGTTACCTTGTAGGGAGGCCCAACCTCTTTGGATGAACGTATACATCGTGTGGCGATAGGAGGGGCCTTTACCTTGATGCAGAGCAATCCAAGCGGGAATGCCCACATTGAACATTATCAACAATGTATCAAGTAACTGAGGCGTATCCCAAACAACTACATTACCAATTCTTGGAGTGAACGGGCATGATCATATGTTTGGAAAAGATTTAATAGCGATCTGAAATAGATTGGGACAAGCTCACCAGATTGTACCCAGCGACGCTGAGCCGTGTCGGAACAAGGACCGAAAAAAGCAGAAAATTCATTAAGTATTATCTTAATAGCGGCCGCATGCCAGCAAGAACGCCACACACCGCAAAAGACTGCGCATCATAAAAACATTCCATATGCATCTGCATTCGGAAATGTGGTCAAGTTTCGCGCACGAGTGAGTACTATGTACCTTGTCTATAAGAACCCATCAAGATGCGACCGTGGATATTGCGGACACCATTCAAGTTGCAGGGCTTGCTAACCCAAGATCTCGGAGGGCTGCAAGGCGTTGCACTAATTGGGAAATTGACACGACCAAGTGTATACGTATCACAGAGATTGTAGTCAGAGAGTCGTAAGTTTAGAGATACTAGCCACTGTAACACGTGACTGTTTGTTTGGTAGCAGCTTTTGCTTCTGCCCAGTGCCACCGTGACTGTGCCACGTCTCTGACCCATTTCCCCTGGGATAGCATTTTTGTGAGTATCATCACTGGTACTTTTTCGGCGCAATACTTTAATGGGTTAGAGTGTCTTGTCGTAGGTTGAGTAGACTGAGGTTTGGGTAGCGCCTAGCTAGGCTATCATCATCCACAATGCAGTGTGCGCTATTATCAGAAGAGAGAAGAGCCGAGGCGAGACGCCGAGCGACAACCACAACGACTATCAAAATAGATGACGTTAGAATACAGAAATACAGGAACGTAGGTTATACCTATCAAAATAGACGAGCACTGAAACTGGGAAAGGAGAGAAAGCCGAAACGAAAAAGATGTAAGTACTGGTACTACGAAAAAGGAAATGTGATCGAAAGTCAGCAAACAGCGTTCATGACAATACCCCCTCGTCAAATGGTCGCGTCCCGCGACCAATGGAGGTCCCGTTCAAATGTTCCGTCCTCCCAGTTGAATAGTCGACGTGGCACTCGTGTTGGTACAGTTAAATTTTCGAGCGCCTGGAAACGCAACCTCATTGTTGGCATAGGGCGTGGTGCTGCAGGGTGTTTGCGATGGAAGTCGGCAATGGCTTGAGGTGCGTTTCTGAGTTCGGAAGCTAACAACCACTCTCGTTCCTCACGAGGATAACCCTTCCAGTGCACGAGATACTCTAATCTCTCTCTGCTGAAGTCGTGAGTCCAAGATCTCTTCGACTTCTTGCTCCTCGTAACCATCAACTAGCACAGGCGGCGGCGGCGGTGGTTTTCTTTGGGAAGGAAATTCGGCGGGTGTAAACGGGGATAGAACACATTCATTGAAGACCGGGTGAATGGATTTCCAAGTACCAGGAAGGGCAAGCTTATAAGCAGAAGCTCCATGTTTTTCTAGGATCTTGAACGGACTGAAGCGTTTGTCATTGAGCTTTTTGGCGGGTCGATCAGACGAAATGTGAGTAGCCTCTAACCATACTTGGTCTCCAATTTTGAAGTTATGTGACTCACTCCGTTTCCGATCATAGAATCGTTTCATATCCTCAGCAGCTCGTTTGAGTGCTGATTCCGCTTCTTCCCGTGTCTTTCGCATCCTGCTCTGCAAAGTCTTTCGCTGCCTCTGCCTTAACTTCTCGACGAAATCCAGTTCCCTTTCGTGGATGATAGCCATAATTGATGAAGAATGGTGAATGACCGGTCGAAGACTGGACCTTGTCATTGTAGGCAAACTCGGCGAGGGGGAGCCACTCAGACCAATCTGTTTGATGGTAGTTGGAGAAAACACGTAGGTAATGTTCTATCTCCTGATTGATTCGTTCAGTTTGACCATCCGTTTGTGGGTGGTAGGCTGTGCTCGCATTACTCTGGATATCGAGAAGTTGGTAGAGGTCGCGCATGAAGGCAGATACGAAATTCGAGCCTCGGTCACTGATGACCTTACGAGGCAGACCATAGCTTCGAAATATATAATCTCGGAAGATTCGTGCAACTCCTAGGGATGTGACTTCTGTGTTCGTCGGCACCACTTTAATCATCTTCGAGAATCGGTCGACAACGACTAGGATCGCATTGTTACCTACCGATTCTGGGAGTGGACCGATAATATCCACAGATATATGTTCCCAAGGTTGCGTGGGGATCTCATTCGGATGTAGGGGGGCAGCAGGTTGAGTGTTCCTTGGTTTGGTGCATTGGCAGCTCTCACAACCATCGATATAGCGCCGAATGTCAGCTAAGATCCGTGGCCACCAATAGTCACGAGTAATCAGCTCATGAGTTTTATACCTCCCTGGATGACCCGCTAAAATGGAGTCATGATGTTCCCGAATGATGTCTTCTCGAAGCTTACGATCTATAGGGATATAGACTCGACCCTTCCAGGTAACGAGACCTTCCGACTCTGACCAGTCTTTGTCCTTCAATGTGAGCATTTTAGTGACGACTGCATCTCGGTTTGCGTGACGACGACGAGCGCGAGTAAGAAAATCCTCGTCTACAGTCTTGAGCTCTACTTGACGGAATATTTCAGGCTTAAGAACGACGATATCTTCGTTGTCATTCTCCCCCGCCTGATGATCTGATCGTCTCGATAGAAGGTCTGCTCGTTGGTTGGTCTTTCCGGGTTTATGATGCAGACTGAAATGATAATTCGACAGTTCTGTCACCCACCGGGCTTGCCGACGATTCAACTTTTGAGGCTTGCGGAAATACGCGAGGTTCTGATGGTCTGTCCATACCTCGAAATCGTTCATTGCTCCCATGAGGTGATGACGCCACTCTGCGAGTGCAGTCATAATTGCAAGTAGCTCACGGTCGTAAATTTCGTAGTTCCGCTCAGTTTCATTTAATGCTTTTGACAGGAAAGCGATGGGTTTCCAAACACCCTCTTGGCACTGCGAGAGCACTGCCCCAATAGCTTTCCCTGAACTGTCAGCCTCCACACGATAAGGGTCTTCGTCGGTCGGGATGCCAAGAACAGGAGCAGAAGATATATGTTCCTTGATCGTGTCAAATGCCTCCTGTTGCTGACCTCCCCAGGACCAATCTACGTTTCCCGTCAAGCTCGTTAAAGGCTTCGCAAGATCTCCATATCCTCGAATAAACCTTCGATAAAAGTTAACGAATCCGAGAAACGCTTGTAGTTCGCGTTTCGCGGTAGGTACAGGCCAATCCATGATCCCCTTAACTTTAACAGGATCCATCTTAACCTGACCCTCCGAAATGACGAGACCTAGGTACTCGATCTCGCTCACCTCGAATTCGCACTTTTCGGGTTTGAGATAAAGTTTGTTCTTGCGAAGGAGTTGGAGGACGCGGCGTACAATACGTTGATGTTCTTCTCGAGTCTTAGTGAAGATGAGGATGTCGTCTAGGTAAATAACTACCTTTCCATCACTGATAAGGTCTCGAAAAATGTCGTTCATCATCGTTTGAAACGTAGCCGGGGAATTAGTCAAGCCAAAGAACATTACTAGTGGCTCGAACAATCCTCGATTTGTACGAAAAGCCGCCTTCCATTCGTCGCCCTCCTTAACTCGTACATTATTGTACCCCCAGCGGATGTCCAGTTTAGTGAAATACCGGGCACCTTTGAGCTTATGGACGAGTTCCTGGATGAGAGGGAGAGGATACCGATTTTTCACGGTACATGCATTAAGCTTTCGATAATCCTGTACTGGTCGAAGTTTCCCATCCTTCTTTTTTACGAAGAAGAATGCAGATGCAAATGGGGACTTCGACGAACGGATCCGACCAGAACGGAGATTTTCTTCGAGAAACGCATCAAGTTCTCGTTGTTCCTCCGGACTAAGATTATAGACTTTACAATCAATGGCGTGCTCCCCTGGAACTAACTCAATCGCATGATCCCAGGGTTTTCAGTGGCGGGAGCTCGTCAAAAGATTCTTTCTTAAAGATGTCCTTGAAGTCATGGTACGAAGTTGGGACCATCTCCTCGAAAGTCTTCTCAGTCTTTTTTCTGGACGCTTCTTCGGCTAATTGTTGAGACGTTGTAGTGTGGGCTTTAATATGCAAAGTCCCTTCTTTCATGTAGCCGTCGAAATCGAAAGCGAACAATCTCTCTCCCTCGCTTAGGGTCAACTCTGGATCGCTATTCACGCAATTCAACTCCTCGTCTTCCTCCGTTTGCTCAGGCCCAAATAAATGTTGAGCATACGAACAAGTCTTCGGGCAACGGTCAAAGTTGAGTGTGCCGGCTGTCCAATCGATAGAGGGATTATGATGTTTAAGCCATTCATGTCCGATAAATAGCTCTCCCTTCCCGAGGTCCGTAACTCCCAAAGTGAGACGTTTGATATGATCATCGATCGTTAGTTGAAGGGTGACGTAGTCTGTGATCACACCTCCCTGCATTGAGAGTTCCATCGGCATTGTAAACGGGAATTGGACGGGCCAGCTTCTGCGTGTTTATTCCTTTGGCTGCTACGAAACCCGCATCAATTGAGGAGCCTGTGCACCCACTGTCAACGAGTGCATTTACACTAAAACCTCGACGGTCATCAAGAGTATTTAGTATTGCGCTTAAAGTCAACGAATTTCCTGTTCCTCGGATGTAACGTTTGGGAGTACTAAGTTCGTTGATCGCTTCTGAGGCTTCCTCAAGTGAAAGTGTATTTAACTCTTTAAGGACTTCTGCAGTGGTTTCGAGATGGCGTTTTGGGTGAACCAACATTCGAAGTAAGCTCATAGCTTTCTCAAATGGCTGGTCCCTGAAAACGTTGAGCATACCAAATAGCAGACCAGGGTCGTAGTCTTGCTGCAGGTACTTCGGCATCGTGGGGTCCCCTTAGGTTACTAGCAGCAGCTTCACCTTCGGATCTACCACTTCCACGTTCCAGAGGAATGCCTTTCCCTTTAGATGAGAGCTTCAGGTTCGGGGCTTCACTCCCTTCCTTCGGCTCGCTATGCGCTTGTTTTGAGTCCTCGTCTTCAATCTCTTCAACATAAGGTTTCGTGTTTGCATACTGGAAGTTACAAGGTAGAGAAAATGAAGAACTCAAATTGGTCAGAGAGGGCGCGCCACCTCCCGACTTTCTTAAAAACCCTTTTCACCCAACCACTTCTTCATATCCTCCTTATCTTCTTCAGGCAGTTCTTCAAGGACCGCTCGTATCGCCGCTGGTTTTCCTTGAAGACAGTCTTTAGCTAAGTGACCGTGTCTGCCACACTTGAAACATAATCCTTGACGACGACAAGCATCGACGTCCATAGGAAGACCTTGACCACTAAAAGTTCCCATAGTCGGGGTCGCAGAAGAAGATTGTTGGGGAGAGGAAGTGGAACGCGGAGTCTGGGTAGAGTTTGCTCGGGGTGGAGGAGGGACAGGCAGGTGAGGACGCTGACGACGAGCCTCACGTTGACGATAGAGTTGATCTTGCTCGATCGCCTTTGCCTTCCAGGCTGCGAAGGTTCCGGCCTTGATAGTGTCAGAACTTTCCCAGATACGATCCACAAGGCGAGAATTGAGAGCTCGTTCAAGAAGGAGATTCAAATGATCATCACTCCCTGCGGACCATCCTGCGGTTCGAGCAAGCTGATCGAATTGAACAAAGAACTCTTCCGCAGTTAAGCTGCCCTGCTTTAAGAGCTCAAGTTGACGTTGAGCCTCGCGCTTGGCATTTGCATCGTCGAACGAAGCCTTTAGAGCGGCCTCGAAGTCGACAAAACTCCAACGTTGAGCGGAAGGTAAGGAAAACTGTTCTTCGGTATAGTTGTCAGCCCAAAGACCAGCACTACCTCCCTTCATGCAAGACGTAGCGAATAAAACCTTCTTTTTATCATCTGTGAAAATCTTAGGTTCCGCTTCGAACATTACGCGGACCTGTCGCCACCAGGTTTTGAAGGAAACGGTCCCCTTGACACCACTGAAGTCATCAGGGCGAGACAAGAGCGTCTTATCAGATTTTGAGCCGGAAGTAGACATGGTAGAATGTGACGACGGTTTAGGGGCTTGAAAAGGAGGTTGAATAGAGATTGAAAGTCGGGGTTGAGGTATTTCAGGGAAGGAGTTGGTTGAATGTGTAGAAGGATCAGAGGTCTCCGAGATTGGAGAAGGCGTTCGAGTGTTTGGTTTAAACGTGACGGAAAATGTGTGATTGACGTTAGAAAGAGGTCTCGGGTCGGTAAGAGCAGTTTCGTGCTTCTATCAGAAGAGAGAAGAGCCGAGGCGAGACGTCGAGCGACAACCACAACGACTATCAAAATAGACGACGTTAGAATACAGAAATACAGGAACGTAGGTTATACCTATCAAAATAGACGAGCACGAAACTGGGAAAGGAGAGAAAGCCGAAACGAAAAAGATGTAAGTACTGGTACTACGAAAAAGGAAATGTGATCGAAAGTCAGCAAACAGCGTTCATGACACATCTTAGCAATGACCTTGCATGCGTCGATGTCCCACAACCTCACTGCACCATCCCCACTCCCGCTAACCACTTTCTTCCCGTCCAGAGACAACGCTATACTGGCCACTTTCCTTTTTTTCAAGTCTTCTTCGTCCGACCAGTCTTTTTCATGTCGCCAGTCTTCTCCTATCTGTTTCCCGCTCTTCAAGTTCCATACTCGAAGCGAGCCGTCTTCTGAACAAGTGATGATCCGCTGTCCGCCTGGCAGGTGTATGACGCCCCGGACCCATTTAGTGTGTCCTTCAAATTTCTGGTCAGGCGTAATTACTGGTGTCTCTTTCATTTCAGTGGTGGATGAAACCATGCCTACTACCGAGCGCGGTGCCATCTCAGCTTTCATCGATCAAATTCCAAAATCAGCACTTACGAGGACAGCAGTGATGGATGGGCAGCAGGGAATAATGGCTATTTTGGTCAAATCAGAGTTGAATATTGAATCCTTGGCTTCCTGGTACGTTGTACATGCTTCATCCTCGTGTTCGCTTCACAGCTTATACACAGCATAGGCTGTGCCGCTGAAGCGCCCAAGAATCATCTGTCTCCGGTCACATGGCGTGGCTTTCAGTCGACATTTTCAATATACGACATGCTACGCTGCTGCAGTTCAGGTATTCAGGTCTGCATTCTCCATCTCGTTATAACATCTTCTGCCCTCGTCGTTTACCGTACCCAGCGTTTTCAGTAATCCCATTCAAATCCCACAGGTATGACCACCCGGGCCATACTCAGCCTTAGGCGCGTTTCCTGATTGTTGCTGTACAGACGCAGCTTTGGCTTCATGAAATGGTTCGTCCCCCTACAGTGACTGGCTATTCTATTCCGTTCAGTACACCTCACTTACCCAGTAAACTGCCCATCACGAGTCCTTGTTGATCAATAGGATTATGTGTAGATGAAGCCATACGCTTGCACTTGTCTCGAGCAATCTCGCAGTCTACGAGGGACTGGGAGAATGCTCGAGTTCTTGGGCATGAAGACGCGCTGACTTCGAAACCTGAAAGGTAGAGAAACCTCAAAATGTATGATGCACTTTGCATGACACATTGATGCAGTCGGAAGACACATGAAGCAGGACGCCATTAAACTTGATGTTTCATCACCTACTTAGGAGGAAGAGCACGTTGCCAGGGTGGCCTAGAGTGAAAATTCGGTTTCTCCGCGATACACTCCGCATCTAGTGGGAAGCAGGAGGACGGTTGTTTTTCAGTACACTTAACGGAAACCAGTGTGTATTTGCACTCGATCGACCGCATTTTATATTTCACATATCATATACTGTAGACTAGCATAGAACGCCGTCACAGACATTATGATGCAAAACCTACTTGTCGTGACATACCTTAGCTTCATTAAACCTTTTGAGCCAGCAAAAGTCCATAAACTGTTGGATTTCAGGAATATTCAAACATCAAAACAGCTGGGACACGCGTCCAACATGTCAGTATAGGGAGAACATCGTGAAAAGAGATGGAAACGGTATAGTGCACGATGTGACAGTAACGACAAGTTCTTGAAATACTCAAGCAGAGCGCAGAATGTACGTGTGGTGATGGAAGATGAAGTGGTATGTGGTATCATACAAAAGAATGGTTCCAAATCATCAGTCATGTAACAGAGCGAGCAGTAGGAATTGGTAGAGCACATCAATGAAGATATATACATCCAAATCAAACTAGAAAAGTACGCGCCGCCGAGGAAATAATATATTAATGATGACCATCAGTATACTCAGTAGACGTACAACAAATAAGGAGCCAGAAGCGAGTCCATAGTCCACCCTGTCTTATCGTTATATCAGGGCGCGAGGGCGTTGAAGCTGTACCAGTAGTCGTTGTAGCATGGCCCATGGCTGGTGTGGTGGACGACGACGAGTCAGCTGCCTGTGGTTGTGAAGATGGCTTAGCGACATTGGGCTTGGGAGGCTGCGAGCTGCCCGTAGTAGAGTTCTTGAAGTGCAATGGTTTCATTTTCTGCTTTTCGCTAACGCAACCTCCCTTGCTGAAGCGTTTCTCTACGTGATATTAGGTGAAGTTGAACGACGGAGGAGAGAAAACATACACGTTTGCCCTTTGCATACGGAACATCAACAGCTGCAGGGTTGTCCCTTTGCAACTCGATGCCTTCGCCGCTTCGCCCACGCCATTTCAAAAGGTTTCGAGCCCAGTCGGGTGGGGAGGACGGTGACGTATCATGGGTATCGGAAGGGCTACGGTGGAACAAGCGGCCAAGAAACGTGCCGCCTGGTGGTGCTGAGGAGTTGGGACGGCTGAACTGAGAACACGAAGGTCAGGAAAACAAAATCGGATCGATAGTAATAATGACATACATGAGAACGATCTGGTGGAGCTCCATCGAAAAAAACCTGGGGATGCTCGAGAAGCAGGTGGACGTCGCTGGACCGGACGTCGTGTAGCATTAGCCTAGAGTGTATATGTTGAGCACAGCGAGATCCTTTAATGAAGGTGTCACGTACATCGAGTTCAGATTTGTTGGCCTGGCAGAGTATGTTCAGTTGTCAGAATGAAATGAATGAGACATGCATGTCAACTCACCTTTGAATCCGAAAGAAGGTCGTTGAGTCCAGCTTCTTTTACAATCGCACCAACATCCCATGCGTACGCGTTTTTGTCGTTCCGCAGCCAGTTGCTAGTAGCTGTCCACCCGCGGAAAAGGACACGTAGCCTCACGTAGCTCACTTCCTCTGCGTGCTGGAGGGGCGAACTGATAGGCTGGCCGTTCTCGGGTTCCACAATCGCACTGTCTTGTCGCGCGATGCGCTTGCAAGTATGCGGTCATTGGGTGATATCGCAATGTCTATGAACACTGTCGGTGTGCTCATCCAGTAGTGCAATCTGCTCCCATTTGGTTGTATTCCATGTCCTAATCGGGTGACCCAATGACCCCAGAAACAAGCGTTTTTCCGTCCTTGGTGCAAGCCAGGCAAGTCACTAGTCCATTTCCCATATGTGTTCTTTGAGAGTTGCAACAAGCTTGCCTGTCTTTGCGTCCCAGATTTGGACCGAGGCCTCGGTAGTTCTAGAATTAGTCGAACCATCGTATCCACCAGTCGCAATCAAGGCCATGTCTGGTGAATAGACGACTACAAACACTTCTTTGTGTTCCGTCTCGACTGGCTCGCGGATTGTCTCTCCGTTCTCTACGTCCCATTGCCTTGCAGTCCCATCGACAAATCCGCTTAACACTCTCCGACCATCCCGACTCCAGCAGACAGACCTCACTTTGTCTGTGTGCCCCGTCCATTTAGCAACAATCTTACCTGTGTCGATGTCCCACAACCTCACCACACCGTCCTCACCCCCGCTAACAACTTTGTTCCCGTCCGGAGACAGTGCTATCTCGCACACTCTACCTTCTCCGTCCCTCCAGTCTTCTCCTATCTATTTCCCGCTCTCCAAGTTCCATACCCGCAACGAGCCATCCCATGAAGAAGTGATGATCCGCTGTCCGCCTGGTAGGTGTATGGCGCCCCGGGCAGCATCAGTGTGTCCTTTAAATTTCCGGCGAGGTGTTATCGCTGTCTCTTTCGTTTTAGTAGTAGGTGAGGACATGCTCCAGAATTGTCACTACCGAGTGCAGCACCATCTCAGCTTTCATCGGTCAAATTCCAAAATCAGCACTTACGAGGATAGCAGGGATGGTCAGACGAGAGGCCAATCGATGCGAGGCATGAGAATGCCTCTCCAATGTTTACTGCTGTCGGGATTGGAGGATTGCAGTTGCAAGTCAGGTGCGTTGCCTATATACTAGCGCATTTTACATATCTGATCGGCTCTGGAACATTCCCTCTTAGCTCACTCTGTTTATTTGCTTCCTGGTCGGACATTGATGTCGAAGCTAAGCCTCTGGATAATCGGATTCGTGTTCTGCTACGAGCGCGAACATTAGCATCAGCGACAGTTAACAACAAACGAACGAGCATTCCCTGCGACGCACCTCGTTCTTTTTCAGCTGTGTTGTATGCCGTCTGGCGATCGGAGTGAGCTACTGGAACATACGATTCCAAATAAAGAGGCTCTATTTCGTGCATCGAACGGTGAGTACGATTACCTATCCGCCCCACAGAGAAGATGAAAGAAAAACATACCGCGTCCTCCAGCTCATTTCCGTCGTTTTCATTTCACACTGGGGTTCATGCAGTGTGTCCACGCGCCCTGGATAGCGATCAAGCTTGGGGTTGGATTGATTCGTGGGAAGCGGTGAACGAACATGTTGGTAATGGTTGATCAATGCAAGACTGTCACTTGATTAGAAGAAACGACTGTCCTATGAGTTAGACAGGGTGCCAATGCAACCTTGTTATTCTTCGAGTCTGATTGGCACATGTGCAGCAATAGGGCGTATATTCACCAGCCTAATACAATACATCCGATAAACGTTCTATCAAGCAAAATGTATGCCCTCGTCATGAAATGCGGATAGCAGTCTGTTGAACTGATAAGAAAGCACAGGAGACAAAACTAATATGACTCACTTTAAAAGATCGTCAAGGGTCATCTTGGCTGCCCGCTGTTCCGAGTAACCCGATGAGCTGAGGACTTCTTCTACTTTAGCTTTCATGTTTGCGTCGTCATCGATTATCTGATTTATGGCGGTCAAGTCTCCATCTACAACATACAAAAACTGAAATCACCTTATTTTGAGTCGAGCACCACGTTCTCCAGTTTTGTTCCAGCATCTCGATGACCCCTTTTGCCATGAATGTAGCATGCACCATTTTATTTCGCCTCGAAAAGATGATTCTACCCAGCCCATCGAATTCCTCGAACTTGATGGGGGGAGGAGGATCGAGAGGTACCAGTCGGACCACTGACGACTCAACTTGCGGTGCTGGTCGGAAGTTATTTTTGCCGACGTGCATAACTAGGTCTACCTTTGAATAAAGCTGTACGTTCGCAGATAACCGCGACCAGAGCTCTGTCCCGGGCTGAGCAACAAGCCTCATGGCAAATTCTCTTTGGAACATGAGAATTGCCACACGAAAGATTGGTCGATGAGAGAGGAGGCGGAAGACAAGTGGTGATGATATTTGATAGGGCGTGTTGGATATGCATACATCGAAATATGGGAGATCAGCTTTTACAAAGTCTCCGATGATTATGTCGAGTTTTCGTTGTTCTGGTCTTCCGAGGAGTAGCCCGTCAGTTAATGATATTAAGATGGGAAGAAGTACACGCACTTCCCCTGAACTCGCTTCGTTAATTCAGCTGCCATCCGTGGGTCCATCTCCACAGCAGTAACATTTTTGGCTTGTTCAAGAATTTTGACAGTAAGGTTACCTGTACCAGGGCCAACTTCGAGGACTTTATCCGTGGGGCGAAGGTTCGCCTACACGTCACGATTAGCATCTATGAGATGGATTCAGCACACATAAGCTGAGCCGAACCTTATCCACGATACTGATGTAGAATCAGCCCGAGTTATATTACATGAGAATTGTGAGCGTACGTTTGAGCAATCTGTGGATTCTTCAAGATATGTTGTCCGAATCTTTCTGTATTGAATATTGGGTTACGGACGCCGGCTGAAGTCCCTTCATTTGCACTGTGGTTTTTGGATGAAGATGATGCAGCGGCTGATTTTATTGACGGCTGGTGGGCACGCGAGAAACGTCCTGAAGTTGCACGAGGCATTTTGGATTGTCACGGCCGGTGGAGTCGATACTGCTGCCAGTGCTGGTCGGAAAAATCTAAGTGACATAAGTGGAAGTCAAAACACGTGACTTTATGCCCTTCCCAGCGCCGGTACAATATAAGAGCCAGTTCGGCAACGAGATGTTGACCAACATTTGGCTGAACCCGTGTGAGATGTTCTCGGCTTCAAGCGTCCCAGACGTCGGACTTTGAACCTTACTGCTCCTACCTGTACATCTACCATGAATTCCTATCTTATTGACTGTCATCGTTGCCAAAGAATCTGTACTAGCGTTCTCGCCCTTACCGCCATCTGCGCAAACTTCACAACGGTACTCATGGCTCAACCTGAGATCACACAAACGGCCGCCGACAACTTGAAGCCAAAGGCACAATGGCAAGACTCAGAGGTGGATATCCTCCTTCAACATTTCATCTGGAATCACGCAGCGATTGGCGATGGTGGGAACTTCTCAGGGCCTACCTTCAACAGCGCAGCTACTGCTATCAATTCCGACGAGACAATTCAAACAATGGGCCCACCAAAGACGGGCAATATGGTTAAGACCAAATGGACCGCAGTACGTGATCTTATCTTGATTGAGATTGAGATTGATCTGATCAGACTATTAGCTCAAAAAATATTCAATCAAATCGAGGCCTATCGCAATGTATCCGGCTTTCATTGGGACAATGTGCGGGGTGCCGGGATTGAGGGCCCTGCTGCTGACAGCGTTTGGAATACATATGTTGCTCCAAGGGTACGTGATTGCATATGTTTGCGACACTCACTAACATCAAAATAGTCACGATCTGCAATGCGCCCCTTTCGCAACAAAGGGTGGCCGCTATATGATGATATGTATACCATCTTGGGAGAAAACAGCGGTGCTCGTGGAAGGCGTGCCTTCCACCCCCGCTACCGCAGCCCCTGCCTCCATTGATGTTGATATAGATGATGTGCTTGATGGGGGGCTTGCCCTTCTTGACGTAGACGGGGGAAGCACGTCTGCTGGAGCCGCTGGCCCTAGCGATGTGCCGGACATGAGCGCCGACCTGATGATGCCACCTCAGAGCGCCCTGTTCCTTGCAACCTCCACCACTACTGGCTCCCAGTCCAGCAAACGTGTGCGCACCAACACTTTGCTCAATTCCATGGAGACATCATCTTACAATTCCAGTGGCACCCCCATGTCCAGCTATGCCAACAGTCCCCAGTCATCATCTCTCCCCCTTTCGTCAACATTGGTGCCATCGTCCCAGCCATCGTCCCAGCCACCAGCCTTGAAGAAGGCTCGAGTGTCGATGCATGGTAGCTCGCAGACGGGGGTGAGCAGCACTGCTAAAGTCGCTGCCAAGATCACACCAGTGGCCACCGTCATGAACATGCAAGGCACTATCAATCGCCTCACTGACGTTATCGAGAGGAATATGATGGCTCCATCTGACCTACCTGTTGTTGTTGTGCCAACCATGATATCCCATGGCCTGTCGATTTTGCGTGGTGCAGATGGAGATCTGCCTGTTTCTCAGAGAGCCAACCTCTGTTAAGACCGTACTCAAGTCGTATCGGATCCGAAGGGCTTCGGCCTCAGCTCGTGCACTGTGCCCCTTTCCCAAGTCTTGCCCCTTATTTCAGAGTACTAGAGTATCGCGTATATTGAGACGGATAAGTCTCGTAACGGATCCGTTATGGCTTCCAGATATCGAACGTATATAGTAATGGCTAATCCGGATTGGATCCGAACTAGAAACTAATGGGCGAGGACTGTCTGAGGACAGAGACGGATATATAGACTATAGGAATCAATCCTAAGTCTCGGAGTAGCCAAGAGTATCGTACTCAAGTCCGGATGGATAATAGAGGGACTTAGAGTCCAGACAGAATGAGTGCAATCTAAGATGATATTCGAACTGATCTACTACAGCGCATGTACAAGGGTTTATATACTACGGATAACTAACGGAATGATCAATAAGCAAAGGTGCGAGGCTATGTACGAAGTATAAGCAAAGTATGTGTACAGCATATTGGTAAGTCGGACAGATAACGTATCATAACCGGGAATGAAGTCTAAGCTAAAGCGGATCAGTAAGTGTAGCGGATCAGTAAGCATAACGGAAGTAAAGGATAACTGGTATACCGGTGTACAGGAATGCTGAAAGGAGATGAACGATAGTTAGAGTTATATGAACAGGACATGAAACAAGGGTTAGATCGGATCTGTGGACCGGACGATGGATATGTCCATCGGATCTGGATCGGATCTGAGATCTGGATCTTCGGATCTGTACCCGGGAATATGGTATATGACACTTACCATTTGTATTGCCGCTCCTTACATTTTTCGTACCAACATGTAGTATCAATACCTCATGTATCGCATATCACATTCTTCGCAATGCCAATGGATTCTCCATGTCTTCGCTGGTGGGAATGGATCAGGAGTAGATGGCTGTGGTTGCTGTTGCTGATGTGAAGGAGTAGATGGCTGTGGTTGCTGCTGGTTGGAACAGATCAGGAGTAGATGGCTGTGGTTGCTGCTGGTTGGGAACGGATCAGGAGTAGATGGCTGTGGTTGCTGTTGCTGATGAGAACCGCTCATCAGGACAAATACATTGTACAAGTTACTAACTACATACTACTAGTACATATTAACCCAGTCCATCCTCGTCAGTGTCTGAGACACCTTGGTCTGATAGGTTGTCGTTGTCGTCTCCAAGAGCGCGTCTCTCTTGCAAAACACGTTGGTAATCTGCCCACATTGCTTCAGCAATGTGGTCGCGCATCAAATGGAGGTCGTCTTGCACAGCTGGGCGACCTTCTACTAGCCCCTGCTCCCAGTTTGCAGCAGGTTCATCGCCAAGGGAATAGTCTGCGTCAGGTAGCCTACCTTCTGCAGGATCGTGAAGGCGGATAAAATTGTGCAGGCTGCACAATGCCGCTGGGATCTGGGCTTGTATGCCCATAGCGTATGGTGGGGTGAGAAGGAGGATCTGGAAACATCATTTCAGGACGCTGAAAATCCGCTTGATGACGTTTTGAGCGGATGCGTGATGAAGGTTAAACAACTCTTCTTTGGTAGCTGGCCTGTAGAGTATTAGTACGTAGTAGGAAGTATAATGCTAGTAACACGCACCTTATACTTGCATGGCCCCATTCTGCGAGGTGGTAGTGTACATTACGGTAGGGGATGAGTAGTTCGGGCTGCAGAGGGAAACCTGCATCTGCAAGGAAATATTTTCCTGTAGGAATATGAAGGTCGTGACCCTCCGCGGCCTCATAGATACGCGCGTCTGTGGCAGACCCCTCCCAGCCAGTGAGCGCGTATGTGAATTTGAGCTCGAAATTACAAGCAAATAGGCAGTTTTGGGAGACAAATCCCTTCCAATTACAGTAGGGACCTCATTCAAATGCACGAGGCGACGCATGGATATGGCTCCCGTCAATGGCACCAATGGTATCCTTGAAGAATGGCCAGAATTTAGGATTACAGCAAATTTTTTTGGGAATGGATGCATCGGGTAATTGTACATGTTTCGTATAGAAGGGGGAGGACGAGAAGATGACGAGCATTTTGCGAAAGTAACTATGCAGAAAATACTATGAGACTATGATACTAATATTAGCAGACACTTACCGAGAAATTGTATCATTCGAGCGTTGAAACCTTTCACCGACATGCCTGATAGATAATCCTGTAATGGCAGTGTACAGAAAAATTGTGAGTTGTTCTTCTAATGAAATGAATTTGGAATCGGTGTGTCCGAGGATACGAATTTCAGATATGAGTGCCGCAAAGATGTGTGCATGCACGCCGAGTTCACACTGGATTCGTTCTGGGTGACCAGACAATAATTCTATGACCCATGCTTCGCCCGAGAGAGCAGATGTGTGATATGGCTCCGGATCCTTTGAGTAGACAGAATCTAGGTAATTGGCTGTGGTGCTGATTAGTATACTGATTAGAAGGATTGCATATTGGATGAGGCGATGACGAGCTTCTGGGCATTTTGGCATCAAATTCAGGACTTCTGATTGACAATACATTGCAGTAGGGACCCATAGAGGATCAATCCAAGGACGAAGTATCATATCCTGCCTACTAGATAACAGTGCGTGTGCCCTGGTCTAGGGTTAGTCCAAATGCGACATACCATTCAAGTTCCGACCTTCGGGCAATTCCAAGCCAAGAACATCTCACACGGGTTCAGCCAAATGTTGGTCAACATCTCATTGCCGAACTGGCTCTAAGCTTGTAATCAAACTGTAATACGGTATTGATGAGGCCAACTGAAAGCAGACCACATAATCAAGAAAGAACGACTGTCTTCCTTCTATATGGTCTGACTAGCGAGACTTGAGGAAATTGGCTCCTTGCTAGGTACTCTCGTAAATTTTTCTTCAAGGCCTCTTCTCACTCAAATTTATTGTCTCGCTAGGCACTCTTAAATTTGCGCACCCACCCGTATTTTACTCCCTACCCTAGCATTGTACGATATGTATCAAGGTCGAGTTTGGAGTCTGAATCCATGTGGTGCTTTTAATATCTATACTGGCTAATAGTCTGCCTCCTCGCGAGACCGAGTAAGGCCAATTAAAAACGGGTGATTTTCCTTTTCACCCCGCAATTATTTATCTAATTTTGTCCAGCGGTGCCACTTGAATGTGATGTTGCACTAGAACTGGCTGAGCGGGCGAAGCGCCTTGAATGTTCTGAACGTTCCTGCAACCTGCAATGTGGGCATCCCATCAGTGGATTGGCGATTGGTGAAGTTTACATCCCGAGTGTATGCGCCGGTCGAAGTAGGTTCAGCCTCTTGCAGTTCGTTTGACTGAACTTTGACTTTGACAGTTGATTCACCCCAGAACTGGCGAGGCCAGTACTATTTATGTGCCATAGCAAAAAGATATTGCAATCGCGCATCGCGAAATGTGCCATGGCCCATGGACTCCTGTTTGCGTGTGCCTACTTGCGACCGTAACCATGACCAAACTCCCTATAAGCATAGGCGCGCTGATTCAATCCCAATGTTGTTTGCCTTAGCAGGCAGTTCAAATCTCAGTACTTATCCCCGTCCATCTGTGACATTATGAAAGGAGCACAATAGGAAGATACAAAGGACAGGTGCGCCCTGGAACGGGGATGCCAACAACTTCTGAGTGCGCAATGCCCAGGGAATCAGTTTGTGGAGAAGCTGGCTGTCTAGCTAGTCATGACGGAACCATCATGTGCTACCGCCTTGAAGATCAGAAGGACCCATATACTTAGTCTCCACAGCAGGTACCTCGACATGAAGGAGATGCTGGCTAATTCGCAAACCAAGGAAGGAGGTACAGCCTATGCAATTTGAAACATATAGAAACCTTCTTGCTGAGACTCTAACTGTAGAACTCAAGCTCTTCAATCCACATCCAATCTCAATCCCAACCAGTGCACTTTGTGTTTAACAATCTGAAACAATGTCATGCCCTTTCATCAGGAATTTGAGCTTCCAGTTGTGAGTGTCTTTGCACTATCACTTTGCATGACTTTGTCACCCGACTCACCGTCATCCCGCAGCAACGACCTCAGCAAGGAGGTGATGATCATGCTCACTTTGATCAACGGCGACCTGAAAGGCCTCTATGAGGACTTCTTCCTGATAGTTTGGAAGTAAGTGTGCATACTTTTGCTTTGATGATTTCAAACCTTGCAATTTTTCAGGGTCAGCACATTCAGGAAGACAGGTGGGTGTTCCTATTCTTTTGCTGCCAAGTTGCCAACTTGCATATGACCTCTCTTTCCAGGCGCATACAGGGCTCAGGTGACCTACACAAACCAGTAAGATGATCTACGCGAACCATAGTCATGAAAGTTGCTTATTTATTGTACAGACTTGCTTTCTCCAAAACCCAGGTCGTGAATGGGAACGTCATCAGCACTGGAACCTGCGTCAAGATCAATGTAAACGACTCTTATCCACTCTGCGATTGCTAGCACCGATGTAAGTCATGATGCAGGACAGCGAGAAAACAACTCTGACCCAGGCCAACGATGTCTATCATTTCTCTGTGAGTCTGGCTTCCATTGATATTTATCTCAGCCACCGACGAATATATCTAGCCCCCTCAAGTGGGAACCTCTGGTATCCTGCAGGCTGTGAACAGGACTGGAGCGGTTCAAGATCTCGCAGTCAGTTTGCAACCATCATTGTCTGCTCATCTTTCAGCTGAGCGTATCATCTACCTCCAGGCTTTCTTAACAAAGGAGATTTGATGCCCATGCCTGCGCTCTACTTCAACAAAGTTGAGTATGTCATCTTTCCTCTATTCTCCTTCATAGCCCTCACAGCCCAAAACGCAGAGATGAGAGTAGTGTCAAGGCTCAGTTCACTCCAATCCTGCATGTCTACATCACGTCAGACTATCAAGAGACTGCAATCTTGCGAGGTGCCATCAACACCCCTGTGATCTGGATGCAGGACCTTGCTGTGCTTGCCGAGAACACAACTTGGAACCTCAAGTGCGACATGGCCACTGGACGTTACACGGTCATCCAAGCTTGAATAAGGAATGCGACATTGGTACACCTAAACATTTCTTCTGTGAGGTCTGCATCTCAATGTTCACTCTGCTTTCTTAGCATCCACCAATGGCTTCAGTTAGTTGCTTGTCTGTTATGTGTTTTACCAGAGTCGAGAGTTGTACCATTTTTACGAGGCTTTACCTATGTGTTTGAAATGTTGCATTTTGTTTGAACAAGATCTTAGATCTCCCGAGCTGTGCATGTGAAGATGTTGACTTTGTGAAGCTGTTGACTTATCGAACATTGATGCTCCACCTGACAGTGGTTAGTCATGATGCATACAGTATTGTGTGTGATTTTCAGATCGCAGATATTGAACAACAGGGCGCCTAACTATGTGTTCTGTGAGGTCTGCATCTCAATGTTCTCTCTGTTTTCATAGTATTTTCGTTCAAACCAATGGCCTCACTTAGTTGCATGTCTTTTATAAGTTGACCCGTCTCTATGTAGTTTGCAAGCATTGTACTATTTTTTGGGGACTTTACCCATTGTCTTAATAACCGAGGGTCTTATATAAATACGTGTAAGAATGTAATGACACCACAATTACACTGGATAAGACTTCTTGCCAGTCCTCGATTAACATGGTCTACGACTTTTCTTCTTTCGTGGTAGATAACGTGTGAGTTCTTGGGAGGCTCGCTAAACCAATCAGTTAGATTAACTTAGCCGGAGCTTTATTATCTCTGATTGAAACTATGGGATTGTCTAGGATATACCGTCTAGACACTTGAACTGGTTTCCTGAATATACGATTAACTGTTGAGAAGCTGGTCTCAAATGTGACTATGTTGACCAAAGCTCGTGTTGGTCAATATACAAATACCTGGTGAGAACGCTGGTCTCACAAATAACAACAATGACAATAAAAACAATGACAAATAACAACAATGACAAATAAAAAACAATGACAAATAACAACAATGACCAAAGCTCGTGTTGGTCAGTATACAAATACCTGGTGAGAATGCTGGTCTCACAAATAACAACGGTGACCAAAGCTCGTGTTGGTCAGTAAACACTACGTGGTGAAAACACTGGTCTCACAAAACTGGGTTTCTATCGCAAGAAACTTACGTAATCTCAAGGGAAACACTTTCCCTGCACTTGCCTGGACAGTTCTTACAAAGGAAATGGGCTTTGTAAGCAGCAATTTGTTCAGACTGAAGCTTCTTAGGTGAGAGTTCAATTTGCTCAAGAGGGAGATTCTTGAATGCAACAAGTGGGAGATCTATTTTTTTGGGGGAGAATGGGCTCTCCTTATATACATTTTGTGTGGGAATATTATGTAAGTAAAAAGGTGATGTAATGACTTCAGAATGTGATAAGAATATTCCAAAAACTGGAGCAGAATGTTCTAGCAGGTGCAAAAGAACATTCCAGAATATTCATGGTGGGATAATGACATCATTCTGAGTCACTATGAGTCACTATGAGTCATTGGAATGTCCTAGCAAATTCCATGGAACATGACATCATTATGACATCACTATGATATCATATCTTTCAACCAAAATACCTGCAGGAGTGTAGGTGAAGTCCTATGACATCATTATGACATCATACCCTGTAGGTACAATTTTATGAAGCATCTGATTAGTCAGAGCATCCTAATAGAAAAGTAAAGTAAAGAAACACTAGAGAAAACAACTCAGAAATAATGGAACAAATAATAGTACACAATGCACGGGCTTTTTAGATAGGTTTTTGTTAGGCTTTGAACTTTTCTCTATGGGTTTCTCTAGCCAAAGTGAATAAGCCAAATGAAAGGCAATACCTTAACCTTCATTTTGCTTCTCATATCAACTAGGTCATTATGTGATTCCCATCTCGCATATGACTTTTCTTCAAAACATGGTGGATTCATGAATCACTGAGGGAAAACTGAAACTATTGGACCAAGGTTTGATACCAAGGTATGTGTTGACTAGTCTGAGGACTAAGCTAACAGACTTTGTCTTTTAGGGGGATGCCTAGTAGTCATGTCCATGCATGATTCCCAAATCATGCAGGACACCGTGTGTTTGAAATCTTTTGCTAAATAAGAGCTCTCATGCTAGTGCGGCATGTCAAGATGTTAGCTGTGTGAAATTGTCGACTCGTAGACCTGTCGAGCATTAATGCTCCACTTGACAGTGGTTGGTTAGTCACGATGCATACAGCGTCATGTGTGATTTCGAGATTGCAGTTGTTGAACAACGGGTGGAGTTGTGACTGCAAGATCTGTCATCTGAAATTTTCTGCTGCCAAGTTAACAGTAGACAGGGGTTATCACTTACCGCATTTGACAAGTGTGAATGTGTGATCATCGGCCACACGGCCCATGCCTCATGTCACAAACACATACAAGGTAATAGGACTTCGTGCACTTTGAACTCAAATAAACAAGTTGTTTACAAGCATTTTTTCTGACTTGGAAGAGTCTCCTCTTTGCAGCGCCCCACCCAGTGCCCACCTGTCTATCAAAATAAGCTGTAGCGCTGTGGTGAAAGAAATAGTAGTCAGCTAGATATACCAACTAACTTACTAAATCCTAATGGGTGCGAGTGCAGTACTTCGACCCAAGGGGACTGCTATTGAAGCACTTCCTTCTAATAGTGCGAGGGAAGAGAAAGGAAGAAACTAAGATCTAAGACCTGAGATATCTGACCGACTGAAGGTCCAAGTCTGAGAATGTCCGATGCGATATGGGATACCGATGGTACACCCAACGCAAGATACCGATGAAGGGCACCAATGTGAGATACCGATGAAGGACACTGATGCGAGATACCAATGCGAGATACCAATGCGAGGTGAGGAGTCTGATGCCGATGAGCGGCAAGTAAGTCTAGGCCGAGGTAAGGAGAGTCCAGGTATAACTAGGTATGACAAGGTAAGACTAGGTATGGGTTGCCGATGTAAGACTACCGGTAGCGGTCCAGATCTCACAAGGCCTAGGTAAAGAAACCTTAGATAGAGTGCACTTAGAGCGGTCAAGGCATGTCCAATGATAAAAGCAAGGGGGATCAATTTGCACAATCAAGGACTAACTAAGGTGACTCCTACAACGGTACCACGTATGTCCAAGGAAGGGAAGTAAGGGATAATACGAACTTGAGTCCTATTTATCTAACTGCGTGAACGTCCGGAATCACACAGGCGAGAGTAGTAGCAAAACGCGAGGTACTCGGGTCGATATGTAATAAGGCTCGTGAGTGCTGCGGCCATGGGAATACATGTAATAACGCCTGCTGTTCGTTCAGTAACAGTAAAATAAGCTTAAACGCACCAATGGAGATAGGTGGACATGGGTAGGACATGGGAGGATTTGGTACTGATGGGACGGAACGGTCGGCCGAGGTGCACGATGGCCGATCTGACAAGCAAGGGACAGTTAAGACAACCCTGGCTCTTCTGCGAGAGACCGAGACCACGGATCCGTATCGGCTGAGTCGGACATAGACTGGCGCAACATAAGTGAGTCGAGTGAGTTGAGACTTTGCAAGGAAGTGGTGTATGGATGCGATGTGGATATCTAGGCTGCTTGACTCCTATAGCGAAATGGGGTTCTGCGAGGCTAGCCCGAGCTTGAACACTACAGCACCTAGTACAAATGGTGGGCAGTGTATGTATGAATTTGAATGTGACTCACATGCATGCGCTTCTTCAGAACCTCAGTTACACGTATTTGAGCTACATTTCAACTACTCTGTTGCCCACTTGTTTCTGCAAGTCCAGATCCCACTCCTGTTGTGGGAGCAAGTAACAAGGAGATGGGTACCACAGATGAAAACTACCTCGTTCACCAATTTCTCATAACCCTTAAGTGTCAGTTTGAGTCTATCAGGCATTTCCTTTTGAGTTGGCGCTTGGGACGCTACTTTGTAAGTGTCAGTGATAGCTGCCATTGAATCTTTTTCAATGTCTCAGTCAGCAGGAGTGTCGACGAGGGAGTGGTCACTTGCGTGCACTGAGGTGAGTAGGCGCTGAGTTGCATCTCCTACAGAACACTATCCCTGAATCTACATTTCAGGCTTGCTGTAGATATGTGGTGTCCTGCATGCAAGTTAGTGTTTCAGGAGTAGCGTGGTGATCACATGAATGCAACAAATCATTGGCTTGATGGCTGTGGTAATATTGTAAATTTGTTCTGAGGGTGAAGCAGTTTTTTGTTCCTGCTGGCATCATTGGCTGGCAACTACCCTCTCGGTACACTCAATTACATGACTTCTCCTGACCACTATAAGTTGATTCCATCTACAGGTTGTCATGCGTAAGTATGGCCACCATATGGACGCACAGCCCTACATATGAATGGGCTGGCCCATATACCTAATATAATACGCATGATATTATGCATAGTACAAGCTGTCATTGATACAGGCTGTACGGCCTATCATCAAGTGATGGCAGGACACTACTGTTACACACATTCTCATTGAAGACCACCACTAACATCAGATCCTTCCCATGTTTGCATGAGCTAGTAATTGTGAGTCTGATTTGCAGTTCACGACACTTTAATTAGTAGCTACTGTTGTTCTTGTCTGCACAACCAGCCACATTGTCAGGCAGACCTTACCATTTGGTATGTTTAGCTTGAATTTGTTGATTTATCTTAGCTATTCTTAGCCAGGTGGTTAACAGGTTTGAGATCTGTTCATGCAAGTTTGAAACCTCTTGACAATGTTTTCTCCTTAATTGCACCTTGACAGTGACCTTGTGCATGAGCTCATGGAGAGATCATTGAATGTCAATCATAAGAGTCATGGCCAAGTTGTTAACAGATTTGAAATCTGTTCCTCCCTGATGGTGCAGGTTTGAAACCTGCTGACAATAGTTTTTCTCTATGATTGCACCTCAGGCATGAGTTCATGGAGAGGTCTTTGAATGTCAGCTATAAGACTTCAGGGCCAAGCTGTTAACAGATTCCAAGTCTGTTCTTCCCGGATGGTACAGGTTCGAAACTTACTGACAATATTTTTTCTCTATGATCTAAATGCTGCATACTATACTGTGATGGCAGTTGTCTATTGGGGGCAACATCGAATTGCATGTGCTCAGTACATGTAGTGATATCTACTATAATGTAAAAGTTCAGAAAGGACAGAAAGCCTAGTAGGAGCTAGAAGCAGACAAACTTGTTTGTCTGGTGCATGAAACACACAGGAACCACCTTGTTAGAACTGCAAGGCATCTGATGCCTGGAAAATGTTCAATGTCTAATGGGGAAGGGGGTCTGTTACTAGTAGCTGCACTGGCACTTCCGGTCTGCAAACATTACTTGGGTGGCTCCGCCGAGCCTGAGATGTTTCAAAGTCAGAAGCCATTTGAGAGGTACTCACCCATGACAGATGTATAGTTGTTTTTGGCCAGTCTCCTTGCTGTACCACTCTGACGATTTATGAATTTGTACATTCCTGGTTGCATGGCTGCTAGTGTGGCACAATGGAGAGGAAACAAAGAGACTGAACTTGAGAGAGGCATTGGCGCAAGTCCAGCAAGTGAAGACGTGTTCACGGGCAGGGTGTCATGGAGTACACAAGTCTGAACACCCTGACAACTCATGGTACTGCAGAAAAGCGTGGTTGAAGGTGTCACAGTCAAAAAAAAAGGGAGAACCTTGTCATGAGCATGTACCAATGTTTTGAAATTACAATTACATGGATCGGACATGCTTTAGCAGTCCATTCGACACTGAAGTTGTACTGCATTGACTCGTCAGTTCTCTGTTGGTACCAATTTTATTTCAAGGCTTATATTGACTGATGTCGAGAAATGTATGTCTTGATTGTGAATTTCTCTGCTCCTGAATCTTAGTGATTTACAAGATATTCAGCAACCAGGACTTAGATCGGTGCGTGTGATTGACTTATCATCAGCTATTAAATCACCACTGCCTCACTAGCCCTTTGTTGCAGTGAGGATTTGAATGATAGTGCATATTCTGCTGCCTGGAGACACGAGCACTGAGCTATCAGCCTGCCAGCAGCCGACATGATACTGCCCAGGTATAACCAGTTTTTTTTTTGAATCCTTGTATTCAAAACACTAAGAGTCTGTTCGGATATGCACTTTTTGCAAATTTAACTTGAACAAACTTGAACCAAGTTTGCTTTGTCATGATTTGTACAGCGTGACATCAGTGTGATAATTGATAATCAAGAGATTATATCATATCCAACATGCCAGCAACTCGAACCCGAACTTGAACTTCCAAGTCCAGCCATAATATTTGTTCACAACCTGGTGGTATCCTTTCATTACTATTATATACATCTATGGTGAAAAAGAAAGCGATGGATGAGAAGAAAAGTGGTGGATCGGCAGGCCAAGAAGCTGAAAGATGCCACTGGTCAAGCGCTGATGAGTTACACTTCCTCGACTACATCACAGCCCATAAAGAAAAAGGGGGTGATGGACTAAATTTTGACAAAAACTTTTGGCTGCTGGCTGCCACCAAGATGGTGCTGTGCACTACAAGTGGTGCAGTGAAATCAGCTGAGGCCTGTTCACAAAAATGGACTAGGGTATTTTTTTTGCACTCCCTCTACCCTCTAGTGCTAATAATATTCGAGATGCATGCCACCTTTTCAACTGTTGATTGTGTGGCAAACTTTTCAGGTATCTCATGGAGCAATGAGCAAGGCTCTGATATCACGCATGAGTCTGAGTCTGTATGGGTCAATCTTATTAGGGTATGTACCTATCTACTGTTCCTTACTACTGCTACTAACTTTTTTGTGATCCAGGAAATACCTGTTGCAAAGAGCTTTAGAAACAAGGGATAACCGCTATACGACAAAATGAATGCCATCATCCCGTCAAAAGCATGTGGTAGTCACGCTTATCACCCTCTGCTGCAATCTACCTCTGACTCGCTGCAATCTGCCAGTGTGACTGGCTAAGCTGCCTCCAGCTTTCAAGAAGCTGATGCACTGGAGCAGTCCCAAGGGCTGGAAGACCTCGAGAACAGTAGCAGTGGAGACAATGACAATAACAACATCTTGATGATGCCACCCCCCCTCCTTCTTTAATCCTGCCAAGCAGCCTCCCTTTACTCCCTCAACACCAGGTGCATCTTCTATATGTACTTCAGTTGCCAGCACTTCAGCCATGAACAAGGGCAAGCACAAAGAGGTCAACAATGGTGATGATGCTTCACGAACACTTGTTTTCCCCCCAAATTCCTCCAAGTCAGTCAGTCAATTGGCGTCAGGAAGGTCCATCAAGTCTGCATGCTGAGGCATGCCTGAAGCTGTCCAGCAAATGAACAGCAAGATTTAGGGTCTCACAAAGGGTCTTACTTCATCCTTTGATCGTGTCACAAACATCTTGGAAGAGCACACCCGCAACACCTAACAGTTCGTGGATCCAGCCCCTCTGCACAAGCAGAAAGCTATCCTTCAGGTTCAAGAGGAGGGTCTAGAGGACCATGAAGTGGTCACCATCATTGAGCATTTTCAATCCAACATTTCTATCACTGATTCATACCTTGCAATCAAGAAGGACAGTATCCGCAAGCTTTTTTGCTCAAGTATAGTAAATAGTTTGCGCATACTTATATCACAATTCTCGTTTTCATAGTGCTTCTCTTACTAGGCTTATGTAGACTGAAATGAATTCAATCACATTCTGTGTACATTGTGTGATACAAATTTCAATGGTAAACAGAAGGTAGTATTATTGGAGATCATCCTCTATAACAGACTTGCCTCTCTCCTGTCTCACCCTGTTGTAGTCTGCCCACATTTGATGCGCAATGGCATCATGATTTTCATGTGCACAAGTACGAGCCTCATCAGAGGGAGGACCCTCAGCAAGTGTGCCAATGTTGTGCTCAGGCCTGGCAACTTTGTTGTCGACTTGGCGATAGTCCATCATGTCATCCAGGTCGTGGACCCGGATGACATTGTGCACCAGGCACAATGCAGGGGGGATACGAGCTTGGATGCTCATGGGGTAGAAAGGTGGGAGGGAAAGAATTCAGAAGCGGTTCTTGAGCACACCAAAAATGCGCTCAATAACATTCCATAGCATGGCATGGGGTAGGTTAAATAGCTCCCTGTGATTACAAGGCCTGAAAAAGGTCAGTATGAAAATGAGGCAATTGTAAGGGCTCTTACAGTATCTTACTTGAGATGGCCCCTGCCCCATTCAGCTAGGTGATAGTGCACATTGCGATATGGCATGAGTAACTCATCACAGGCTCCAAATCCCACATCTGCAAGATAGTATTTGCCGGGGGGGATGTTGAAGTCTATGATCTGAGCACTGTAATAGATACGAGCATCGGCCACTGACCCCTCCCAACTGCTCAAGACATAGAGAAACAACATGTTGAACGTACAAGCGACAAGGCAGTTCTGACTCAACGTACCCTTGCAATTGCAAGCAGCATTGCACCCTTTGTTGTCAGGGTGACAAGGAACATGAGTACCATCAACAGTGCCAATAGCGTCGGTGAAGTAGGGATAGTATTTGGGATCTTGAATGATTTTGAGGGGGGTTGGGTCATCTCCACCAGGTAGCCGAATATGAAGCTGATAGATAGGGGGGGACGCGAATGCATTGAGTATGCGTTTGAAATACCTTTAAAAATTCAGCAAGTTTGTCAACAAGAAGCCAGGATTAACTTACTTTGATATCATTTCATTGGAGTATCGGAACCATTCACCCAGGTGACAAGTAGACAGCCCTGTTACAATAGCATACAAAAAAATTGCAAGCTGCTCCTCAAGTGATATAAATTTGGAATTGTGGCATCCTGAATCACGAAGTAGAGATAACAATACATGAAATATATGAAGGTGTACACCAAGTTCACATCATATACAATCTGGATGTCCTGTAAGTAATTCATTTACCCAATCCATTCCTGTGAGAGCAGAGGTGTGATATGCCTGCTTCTCATAGTGAGAGCTAGAATAGAGTCGAAGGGCTTGTGAGGCAGATGTCGAAATTACTGTGGCCAGGCGAGAGGCACCAAAGAACATCTTCATGATGTGCTTCAGATGAAGCTCTTCCTCAATATCTGTATTGACTATGGTGGTACCATCAAGATTTTCGTGGACAGTAGTATCATTAGGTAAGTCTGAATGAATTGAGTCGTTATCAGGGGCAGGGTCATCAGTATTCATGGTGTCGATGACAGGTATTAGATGATATCTTTATCAGCAATGATATCAGCAACAAGCGTGACATCTGCATTGGTACTCAGTCCTTACAAATCATGACAAAGCAAACTTGGTTCAAGTTTGTTCAAGTTAATACATTCAACTTGCGAGTCTTGCATCGAGAATGTGAAGTAGGAGAAGCGCGACACTCTCAGCACTAAAGCTCGAGAGTGTCCACTGAGAAAACAAATGTATTTTGCAAAGCCCGGTGTCCCAGCTTAAAAGCTCGGGATCACCGGGGCTAAAGATACAAAAATTTGAGTATAGATCACTAATGGACTATAAGAAAAGATGAAAGGGACACGGCATGCATGCCAAGATGGGATAGATGAAAAATTATTGTCTTGGGGTACTCATGCAGCGCTGTCGTGCATGATTGCTTGCAGCATGAAAGGATGCACACGAATGTACTTCTGAAACTCGTCAGATGACCACCTTCCTGCTGCTTGAATTAGTTGCGGGGGCATTCCGTTTAGCGCGAGAGCAGTAGCTCCTCCCGCCCTCATTGAGTGCCCACTAAAACCCCAGTTTGCGAAAATCTGCTGAAAATGAGTTGTGAACCAAGACCGTGTAGGAATGTGTCCATTTGCACGCAGCCAAAGCTCAGGGTAGTGAGGGAAAGGGCGATCCCTAGAGTGGAGATAGCGATTGACAATAAGAAGACAATCGTCCTTGAATAATGACCGCCGTATGAGAACTTTGCTTCCTTGGCACTTCAGTCACCCCTGTTAAAGTACCTCTTAGGTACATATATTCTGGCTTACAATCTCACCTAAGAGGCATGATCTTAGGCGGTATTCCCAGCCAATGCAGGTTATATCCCTGGGCCAATTCAACACTTTCCCCACGAAGCCTGGGCCTGCTGGGCCAATGTATTTGATCTGTCCCATGACCCATCTGGGTCATCCTAGATACTTTATTATATGAATACACAGGGGGTGTCAGGGGTCATTTCTCATGAAAAATTACCCACACATTTAGACACTTAGAGTATAATGTTTGTCTTCATAAGGTCCTTGACCTACGAATGGAGGAAGTGAAAAGCAATATGTGGCGAGGGGGGGGGGGGGGCGGCTTGTCTTTGAAGATGTGGAAGAATGTAAGTTGGGTAAGGTTCTTGACCTACAAAATCCAAAGCAGTTGGAGGAGGTGGGAATAAATTTGTGGTAGACGGGGGGGTTGTCTTGGAAGATGAGGGAAGAATGTAAGTCGGGTGAGGTCCTTGACCTACAAAATTCAAAGCAGCTGGAGGAGGCGGGAAGAAATTTGTGGTAGACGGGGGGGTTGTCTTTGAAGATGAGGGAAGAATGTAAGTTGGGTAAGGTTCTTGACCTACAAAATTCAAAGCAGTTGGAGGAGGCGGGAATAAATTTGTGGTAGACGGGGGGGTTGTCTTGGAAGATGAGGGAAGAATGTAAGTCAGGTGAGGTCCTTGACCTACAAAATTCAAAGCAGCTGGAGGAGGCGGGAATAAATTTGTGGTAGATGGGGGGGTTGTCTTTGAAGATGAGGGAAGAATGTAAGTCGGGTGAGGTCCTTGACCTAGAAATCCTTCTTGACTGTGCCCTCACTCCAGATACTGACATATTTTACACTCCATCTGGTTAATTTGCACAATTGGAACATACTCTGCACCACAATACTCCAGGTTTTATTGGAGTAAGTGTCATCACATATTACTTTGGATGTAAGCATAAAAGCGGAAAGAAAAAGACAGTGACTGGTCAATGCGGGATAGCCCACCGCTGTTTTATATGGTGACTGGGCTGACCCAGCTCTCTCCTATGCATGATGCGGGCTAGCCCACCGCTGGTTTATATGGTGACTGGGCCGACCCGGCACTCTCCTATGCATGATGCAGGCTAGCCCACCGCTGTTTTATATGGTGACTGGGCTGACCCGGCACTCTCCTATGCATGATGCGGGCTAGCCCACCACTGGTTTATATGGTGACTGGGCTGACCCAGCTCTCTCCTATGCATGATGCGGGCTAGCCCACCACTGTTTTATATGGTGACTGGGCTGGCCCGGCTCTCTCCTATGCATGATGCGGGCTAGCCCACCGCTGGTTTATATGGTGACTGGGCCGACCCGGCTCTCTCCTACACATGATGTGGGCTAGCCCACCGCTGGTTTATATGGTGACTGGGCCGACCCGGCTCTCTCCTACGCATGATGCGGGCTAGCCCACCACTGGTTTATATGGTGACTGGGCTGACCCGGCTCTCTCATATGCATGATGCAGGTTGGCCCAGTCCAAATGTTATTACTTGTTTGTCACTATTTTTCCACATTCCATAAAAGTTCTGTACAGTTTTTCTTCTCTCTTTCTTCTACATTCTATTTTGCAACATCCTCATCCAGTATTGGGCCTTCAATTGTTCTCTCTCCTTTCTTTACTATTTCACTAGGTTGCTCATCTGGGTCAGTACTTACTCCTAAGCCTCTCTACTTTACCTAACTCATTTTTTATTGTAATATTCCCAGTGGTGACTTGCTCTTGCAAATCTGACACTAGTTTAGCAGCACATTCCATGGTTCACCAACGATCTTTCGATTTCCTGACCTATGATTTCATCAATCACTGGTTATTAGTTGTCCTCATCCTCCTCATCATCATGGCCATTTTCTATGGAAACTACATTCTTTATCTTGAACGCACAACTACCGATACGTTAAATGCCCTTGGGCTTCAACCCATCACCACTCCTGTTCCACGGACCAGATCACCAAGCCCTCCTGTTCTTGTTGCCTAACCTCATACAATATCCAAGTGCAGGACTTTTATGTTAGTACTCCACTATCCCTTCTTACCCAACTGCCTGATAGGTGTGATATGGGTTAGCTTCTTACTTGTTCAATATTCAAGGGACAGTCTATTATACACAGTGGGATAGCCCATCACTAATTTCATATGCACGGGTCAGCCCAATACAAGCCCTTATACACAGCGGGGTAGCCCATCGGTATTCATATGTAGTACGGGTCAGCCCAATACGAGCCCTGGGCTGGCCCACCGCATATTACATAGACACTGGGCTGGCCCACTGCATATATATATATCTTCAACATTCCACTAGGGATAGCCCATCACTCCTTACATACGTATGGGCCAGCCCAATATGAGCCCTGGGATGGCCCACCGCATATTACATAGACACTGGGCTGGCCCACTGCATATATATATAGCTTCAACATACCACCAGGGATAGCCCACTCACCATCAATTGATCCTTGGGATGACCCAGCAACCCAATATATATATAAGTGGGATAGTTCATTATTCTTAATTTATTGAGTGGGATGGCCATGATGGCCTAGATTTACACATATGAAAACTCCTCGATGCTGACATTATCTTTCGAGTGCCCATTGTGCACCACAGTTTGGGACCACAAAACACATAGTCATTCAAGCTATCATACACAAGTACATACGCAATAGTTCGAGTGATATGAAACATTAGTCACGGTAAACAAAATCACGATCATATGAATCATACCCAGGAGCCGGAGTGTTCCTGTCATAATCGGATCTCTCACGTGCCCTTGCAACCACTCTCGAAGGGCCTGCAGCCGGAAAATCATGGCGATGATGATGGGCAACATTATGCCCATAGGAATGAAGATGATGCGGAGACACCTGCTGTACCTCATCATCCCAGTGTTGACGCGGTTCGTAGTCAGGTGTAGGTGCACGAAGGCGAGGGCGAGGGCGAGGGCGAGGTCGAGATTGAAGTCGAGGTCGAGGATGAGCAGGGACAAAGTGCGGAGGTGGCAATTCAACATGCGGCGCACCATCACGATGACGTACGACCTGAAAATTAACTTGAATGAGATAATGGTAGAAGATATCAGTCTTCAGCTTACCTTCGACTTCTTCGTGATGCGAGAGTCTGATGCATTCAAGCTATCAGCCTCAGATTCAAGTTGTTCATCTGCTGGACACTCGATTAGAAGAGAATCTGCAAGTAATTCATGGACTTGCCATAATCCTCTGCATGTGGTCGCTTGCGAGACTTCTGTTGCTGAAACGCCGATGGGCGGCGTTCTGGACGGGGCAGACCATCATCAGTGTAGTGGTTCTCACAAACAATCGAATATTCACGAGCAGCGGAGGTCTGTTGTTGAGACTGGCGATCCCGAGTAGTATCTCCAAGCTGCCTTCCTCCCGAAGGAACGCCGACATTCGAACCACGTACTGATGTTGCTTCCTTGTATTTTTGAAGCAACCCTTGGGGGATGGAGTGCTTGAATTTCTCGGAGTCCGCGAGTTTCCGGAGCACGATATTGGAAGCGCTGGTGACCAAAGGAATATCAAACATGTTAGGGTCGTCTTTTTCACATTGCTCGATGTGATCTGAAGCAACAACGTTAGACATAAAAATGAACAGGGCAATAAGTACCTTTGGGCCAAGGAACAATATCAATCTCAGACACAGCGACGTCCAACTCGTCAATGATATCATCAAGAGTTTTTTCGCTCCGTCCTTGCTTGCGCCGAAGTTCGAGTAAGCTCTCAGCTTCAGTCTTCAGTTCGGCGTCATAATATTGCAAAGCCCTGCGCTTGATGTAAGGCACGACGAGTAACTTCAGATGTTGTGCGCTGAGGGTGTGGTAGTTGAAGTCTGGGCCAACTGGGGGAACTTCGTCAGGCCAGAGTTCGAATTGAAACTTGTTCTGGTATGCAACGTCGAGTAACTTCCGCCACTGGACAGACTTCGTTTTGTAGCCGAATTGTTCTGTTGAATCGAATTAAAATCAAGTCATGGATGGGAATAAGTCGAGCTTACCTAGTTTCTCCAGCACCATGACCGGCCAGATACGTCGGTAACGGTCCCGTGGGGCTTCACCAGGCTTCGAAAACAAAATATCATATGCCCCCCCAAACCGCGGCATTGCGAGCTGGTAGTTTTTTGCCCTGGACACATTGTAAGATTAAACTTAGAGTAGTTCCAAGCCACGTACTTTGCTGCAGTAATAATCCAATCTAACGCAAGTTGGGCGTCCACTTGGCGTGCATTGATGACATCCATGAAGGTGGATGAGCCTGCGACAAAACCCGAGGCCTGTCGGGCCGCCTCATCAGGAGTCGAATCAAAGACACAGCCAATGACCTCAATGCCTTCTAGGCGAGAATAAGCTGCAAACTTTGCGACAGTAAGCCATAATACAAACAAGTACTGTCAAAATACTTACACACTTAGCGAGTGCGTCCCTTGTAGACATAACAATACTGGCACGCGATCGATTGTTACTAGCACCGCCCAAGTGACCATCATAGTGCGCTTGTATGTCATCCCACAGCGGGTCGCTGTCTTCAAGGCTGTAGTAGTGGTCGCGCTGTCTCTTTCTCCAATCACTAAGTTCTACCAGAGGATATTGGTCAGTATGGGCACCACAACATGAAATAAATATTCACCTTCATCGGTTTCTCGAGGATATTTTCCTTTGTACCATCCTTGGGTGCATATTCCATGGGGTCTCGGCCCTGGAGTGTTTCACAGACAACCCGGCCTCGATGAGTATTGTGCGTGCAGATTTTCCATATTTGTCACCAATTAACTTGGCAGCGTGAAGTGTCTTGCGCCCGAGCTCCTGCGCGTCGTCTATGCCTTCCTGGCACAGCCGCCCAGGTCTAGAAGTGACGGGAAGGTCATTGTCGTCGTCATCAGTCTCCATTGCCATGGAGCTTTTTGGCAGAGCACTGGAGACGGGACTCTTCTCGACCGACTTCGTCGTCACATGCATGGCAGCCTGGAGTACCTGGGTGGACGGGGGAGTCCCTGTTACTGTGGATTTTGGGGGGAGAGCTTTTGGAGGTGCGCGCTTCTGGGGCAATTTCGTCTTTGATGGAGGCGCAGGTAAGTCGTTGTCGTCGTTGTCGTCGCCTTCTTCTTTTTCTTCAGTCGGCTTCTTGATCTTCTTTGTATTCATCATCATCTTCGTCAGACTCCTCTTCCGAAGAGGAAGGATCACGCTGAGCAAGCATTGCACGGTGTTCAGCCCGTCTCCTCGCTTCTCGATTTCGGTACGGGTAGTTGTTCTCCGAGGAAGGGGCGCCATCCAAGGAAGAATTTTCATCCTCTGGAGTATCAGAGGGGGGTAAGGATTCTGGGAGACGAAACAAGGACTGTTAGTGAAAAATGATTGATAGGAGACGGTGGTACATACCATGAATTTTGGGATCGCCCTTGTGAGCATCCGCTTGTCCTTCACTGTTGTCCTCATCGTCCGTGACAAGGTCATCAGTCTTCGGGTGGTCTTTGTAATAGTCGTGTCAGTGGGTGGTTACTCGATTTGTAGAATGCCCGCCCATACCTTGGGTATCAGACTCAGCGTCAGTGCGCGGCTCTGTGGTAGCAACGGAGGATTTCGCGCGCCGGGCAAGTATGGCGCTGTAGTCGTCGAAGCTCATGAACGAGTTCCCCCTCGGCAAGGGGGGTAGGTTTGATTTTTTTGGCGGGTGGTAGTGTTTTAGTCTGAAGCTTTCAAAGACGAATATCAATGTCTTGTGATAAAATAAAATAAAAATAAAAATAAACGTACCATGCGTTGGTTGATAGGCGCACCACTGCGGGTACGCATCACGAAGTCGATGACAGGAGTTTCCATCCGCGGGTTAGCGCACTTTTTGGTGGAAGATGATTTTTTGGGAGGCATGGCAGAGGGAGCTTGACAAATTGACTAAAGAGATCTATGAACACGAATACAACAGAAAGCAGCCTGAAGAACACGAAGTCCTCAAATATCAACAGCAAGGAGCTTGAAGAACACGAAGTCCTTTTCAGCAGCCAAGACACGAAGTCTCGCAAACAGCGAATTCAAGTAAAAGCTGATGTAGGAGTAAGTTAGAACAACAGACAACGTGATGGAGAAATTCGGACCTACCTCGGTTTTCACGCAAATTCTCAAGACGAGAAGGAAAATACTGTAGTGAGAATGACTGAGTGACAGAGAGTTGATGGCGAAAAATTGGAGCATACCCGGTTTTTAAAGGTAGGAACAGGGCGCCTACGGTGAACTATATGCATAAGATCGTCGGCTGGACGACGAACAAACTTCGACAGAAGACTCCAATACTCTAGATATGACACATAGACCGCATTTGGAACGGGCGAGGCCATCCTGAAGTAGCGCGCAGAGTACCCAAAGCAATTACGGAATAGTGAGTTAAGTACAGGAAGATGAAAAGTAAACTATGACTTAGCTACCAGACAGCGTCGACACTAGCACCCAACGACATCTGCTATCGCAAAGGTAGGAGCTTAAGAGACTGATGAGGGTGTCACAGCAAATCGAGATGGTAAGCCGGACATCGAAGGACGGTGGAAGATTGAGTGGTCGTAACAGTACTAACATGAAGTCAGACTGTGTGTAGTGTATCTGAAGTGACACGAAGTCACTTCAGATAGTGTTAGCTACCGCGAAGGCAGCTCACGAGGAGTCGAGGGGTAGATGAGTGCAGGAATAGAGAGGAGGAAGGCGGCGTAGTTGGCTGAGGTTGGCGAATGTTCCAACAAGTTCTGAGTCACTTCACAATTCTCATTTGTCACAAGCCCATTTGGGTTATCCCAGGGCGTAATCACAACTTTGCGCCTTTACTAACTTTACTCTTTACCCTTTACCTTTTCCTTTGCTCTTTCCAACTCTTCCTTCTCCTCCCATCGCCGGTGTCGATTATTCTGCCTTTGCGGTAGACAACACTATTCCAGTGACTTCGTGTTACTGTGCAATAGCACTCACTACTCTAACTTCGGTTACAGTACCCTTCATCACGTTCAGATTCCTCTTAGCTTGCACTTACCGTGCCTTTATTGGTTCGTCGCTCGATTACTCACTCTCATCGGATAGTCACCTTTTCGTTATTCGCAGTCCCTCTGACGATGCCTCTGACAATACATCGTGAATTTAAACCATTCTTACGCGACGGTGACAGTAAGTGCCCTTGGTGATTGTCCTGTGATCCTCCTCTAATTTTGATATAGATGCTATCACAGCTACAGACGCACGCTCTCTCGCCTATGACGGTCAACTCGTTTTCACTTCGCCTAATATGACTTTCGTTCCCCAACTATACGACAATCCCTCCGATATTGTGCAAGCGAGGGCGGATGGGAAGTTTTGGGCGATGGATCCTTTCCAGTGGCCTCAAATGTACGCAGACGCTTACACCTGGAGTTTTACCATTCCACGACGCGAATTCCATGATCCTAGCACTGACCTGTGGTATGCTTGGTGGTCGCCAGCTTTTTCTGACGATTTTGAGCCACTATCTCCTGGTCATGTCTTTGGCAAGCTGAAGTCCACCCACCGTGATCACCTATTTCGACTGTACGAGCGGGCTAACAAGCGCGTCGGCTCCTACAAGCTGTTCCGAGAAAACAAGCAAGACGCGGTTGTTGGATGGGTCACCGGGTTTGCGCTCTGTTTTTGAACGCTTCAAAGAGACGTGAGCTTGGCGAGATATTGTGATGATCTTGGCCAAGTTTCAGAGGCGATTTCTGGAGATATGGAGCATGATGGATTACCTTGAGATCTTTGAGCTGCGGTTGAAATTTGAGGACAAAGCGCACGGGGTCAACAAGACTTGGATGGGGTGCTTCACCAAAGACTCCGCTATCGCGTTGAGGCTCCACAAGGCTGGTGTACCTGTGTGGTTGATACGAGATGTCAGGCTCGTCGATGATAAGATTAACATCCGCCAAGTCATTCCCTTCACTCCTGCCGACCTTGTGTTTGGGATGTACCTCCATCCCATTAAGAACTTCGCTCAACCTTTCGATATCCGTTACAAGGGTCCAAGTGATCATCAACGCCAGGCTGCGGTTCGTCAACCGTACCTTACTTTTGAAGAGATCCCTATGGATCAAACCGAAGTCAATCGCTTTGCAGCTTCCAGAGAGCCGTCATCGGGTAAAGCGCCCACCAAGACCACGAAAAATAAGTCCGCAGTATGTGAGTGCAGTGTCTAATTTCGGTTCACCATTCTTATCTAACAATTATCTAGATGAACCGACCCGCTCTGCGCCAGAACCAGTCTCAAGTTGGACGTGACAAATGGTGCGACATGGCTCACCCGTTCATGCCCAACATCAACACCTTCTTCGCATCGGCTATGACTCACGCGGACAAAGATTTGAGTCGTGTCAAGCCAACCCATGCAAGAATGGATGAGGGATACAGGCTCCCCGACCCTGGATTATTTGTCAACGTCCTTTCCTCGCAGTCTCTGAAGAAATATCTTGCTAACTGGTTGGCATGCCGTGAGTCGTGGCTGAGGCATGTTTATATGCCGCCTCCATCTCCGCTCCCTCGGTCCCAAAGCTGGCGTGATCTATTGATCACGCAGCCAACAACACCACAGCCCTCGTCGTCAAGTGGTCAGATGCCATCAGGCAAGACTGGCAAGTCCAAAGCCAAACTCGACCTGTTCTTTGGAGATGAATTATCGCTCCTACGCCAGTTTTGGACTGGATCCCAGATGTTGCAATGGAGGGGTCAGAAAATCGAAGCAGCGACGCTCGAGAATTCAGCCGCATCATCTCATTCAACAGATCATATACGAGATTTGTGAGCAAAGCTTCCGATACGACCTTCTGGAACTCGATGAACATCTTGCCGGTCATATGCGGCTGGATCGGGAGGCGAAGAAGCGTCGCATGGAGTTGCTCCGTGGAATTTTTTCCCCAGCATGCCCTCAGCATGTGGGATAAGGATTTTTCGACTCGGAATGATGGACTTAATGCTGAGTCTTTCCAGGATGCTCTTCCATATTTCGAGAATTTTCGTCAAGTGTTGATCGCATGGGACGGTGCTCCTCAAGATCTCAAACAGCCTTTCACCGAGTCGATGCCCGAGGGAGAGAAGTGGCAACGCATGAAGCAATGTGCCCTGTTTTATGTACAATCATTTTACGACAACACAGGTCGCCCCCCCGTGGTCCCTCATATACTTTACGCGGGTCCATAGACGATTTACACTCGCTTCTGTTCGCTTCTGTATTTGTTCGTTGATGTGAGTTGCTACGCAGCGTGGTTCTTTCATGTACAATTTCTGTTGGTGAATTCTATTGACTTGTTGCTCCGGTGCTATTCACTGTTTGTTGATCACTGGCGTTCATGACCATTATCCTCCTCCCAGGCTAGTATCTACTAATTTTTGCTACATAGGTCATACGAACTGGGACTTCGTGTTCCTCTGTGCTTGTTGACTGACTTCGAGTCAGTCACAATATTCTTGCAGGCTTTGTGCCTATCAGAAACATCTACCATGGATGGAGGACCACATCCACGGAATATCGCCTCGACGTCTACTCCTGCAACTCCTGTCCGTCGTCATTCGCAGCAAATATTAATCACACCGTCCATGGTCAAGAAGCGCCGGAAACCACGAGGAAGCAACGCATTTCATCTTCCAGGTCCTCCTCCAGTTCTAGTACTTCCGGGTAGGCGGTATTTCGCCCAACAAACTGCTTCCAATTCCAATCTTTGGCTTGATGTCCCACCTCCTGATCCGAATGACCAGGACAGGCCTTCGTTTTATGACGATGTCCACTTCTTTTCCGATCCCTCCGCTCCTCGATCCCTCCGCTCCAATGGGCGGCAGAAAAAATTCAATCAGTGGCAACGCTGGTCAAACGAAGTGATTCCTTCGCTAATCGGTCCATACCTCACATATCAATACAAATCTTCTTCGCTCCGTCATCGGCCTGCACTTCAAAATGATCCTGTCAAGTGTACGGCTTCATGCCACAGGAGGACTTTAGAAGTGACTTGTGTTTTTTTCAATTGTACGAACTCACCATATTGTTATGTGGCTCGAATTGACCGATGTCCTGCATGATTTGGGAATCATGCATGGACATGACTACTAGGTATCCCCCTAAAAGACAAAGTCTGTTAGCTTAGTCCTCAGACTAGTCAACCCATACCTTGGTATCAAACCTTGGTCCAATAGTTTCAGTTTTCCCTCAGTGATTCATGAATCCACCATGTTTTGAAGAAAAGTCATATGTGAGATGGGAATCACATAATGACCTAGTTGATATGAGAAGCAAAATGAAGGTTAATGTATTGCCTTTCATTTGGCTTATTCACTTTGGCTAGAGAAACCCATAGAGAAAAGTTCAAAGCCTAACAAAAACCTATCTAAAAAGCCCGTATATTGTGTACTATTATTTGTACTATTATTTGTTCCATTATTTCTGAGTTGTTTTCTCTAGTGTTTCTTTACTTTACTTTTCTATTAGGATGCTCTGACTAATCAGATGCTTCATAAAATTGTACCTACAGGGTATGATGTCATAATGATGTCATAGGACTTCACCTACACTCCTGCAGGTATTTTGGTTGAAAGATATGATATCATAGTGATGTCATAATGATGTCATGTTCCATGGAATTTGCTAGAACATTCCAATGACTCATAATGACTCATAGTGACTCATAGTGACTCAGAATGATGTCATTATCCCACCATGAATATTCTGGAATGTTCTTTTGCACCTGCTAGAACATTCTGCTCCAGTTTTTGGAATATTCTTCCCACATTCTGAAGTCATTACATCACCTTTTTACTTACATAATATTCCCACACAAAATGTATATAAGGAGAGCCCATTCTCCCCCAAAAAATAGATCTCCCACTTGTTGCATTCAAGAACTCCCACTTGAGCAAATTGAACTCTCACCTAAGAAGCTTCAGTCTGAACAAATTGCTGCTTACAAAGCCCATTTCCTTTGTAAGAACTGTCCAGGACAAGTGCAGGGAAAGTGTTTCCCTTGAGATTACGTAAGTTTCTTCGCGATAGAAACCCAGTTTTGTGAGACCAGTGTTCTCACCACGTAGTGTTTACTGACCAACACGAGCTTTGGTCACCGTTGTTTTTTTGTGAGACCAGCGTTCTCACCAGGTATTTGTATACTGACCAACACGAGCTTTGGTCATTGTTGTTATTTGTCATTGTTTTATATTTGTCATTTGTTGTTATTTGTGAGACCAGCGTTCTCACCAGGTATTTGTATATTGACCAACACGAGCTTTGGTCCACGTAGTCACATTTGAGACCAGCTTCTCAACAGTTAACCGTATATTCAGGAAACCAGTTCAAGTGTCTAGACGGTATATCCTAGACAATCCCATAGTTTCAATCAGAGATAATAAAGCTCCGGCTAAGTTAATCTGACTGATTGGTTTAGCGAGCCTCCCAAGAACTCACACGTTATCTACCACGAAAGAAGAAAAGTCATAGACCGTGTTAATCGAGGACTGGCAAGAAGTCTTATCCAGTGTAATTGTGGTGTCATTACATTCTTACACGTATTTATATAAGACCCTCGGTTATTAAGACACCGTAGTCCAGATTTAGAGGTTTTGAACATTGACTGCTGCCCCTGCGCACCCGCACCCCTTCAACTTCTTAAGTTGGGGCTATTTGCATGTGCACCCATAGCTCCATCTCTTGCTGTTGACCTACGTGTACTAGAGCTCGTTAGGACTCTTTTTGTACGGATCACCCCCAATACAACAGCCTGGTGTGAAGCATTGGAAGTTTTTCTAACAGCTCGGGGTTACAAACTTTCTACCAAGGTCTGCCTGCACGATTCTTTTTTGAAGTAAGCTAACTCTGGCATCTTCAGGACAATCTTCGCCGCCGCTTCAGTAACGCGTATCATTGGTACTCAGTCCTTGTGATGAATGCTGGAGACCACGTATACAGCCTCATTTCACAACATCTTCCTTCGCGTTCTTTGGGGGACGAAGTCTTGCCCGCACAACCAAGCGATTATCTCCGTTCACGTTGTCCAGTTTGTTTTGGAATGCAGGATTGGCAAAAGGATCACGGTTCGCGTCTCAAGTATGTCGATCCTACCGTGTTTTCCCCTGTGCTGATGTTTTTGCAGGCTAGATTGCCATGTATGCATTGATGCATGCTTCACACAGAAACGGTCAGCCAATTCACGTGGGGCCGATGGCCTAGATCCGCCAAACCCAACACGATCAGTTTTCATTTCGGATGAAGAGGTCGCACGGATGGAAGCTCACGTACTTGCCTGTCGAGGCTCCCTACCTGGTCGTGGAACAAAACGCAAGAAGCTGGAAGGCGACGAAGACGGGTACGAAGATGGTATGCGCATCCCTGTATCGACATTGGATGCCTGCAGGGAATCTTTTCTTGCTGCCAACGAAAAACGAGAGAAAGCTAGCACCCGTTTCTTCGCCGATATGGGAATCATGGCCTTACTTTGTCGTCATGATTGTGTCTTATGGTTGGTCAATATGACATCAGCAGGTGAAAAACAATATTATGCGCTTGCACTTATTAAAAAGCTCTTCGAACATCTTCCGCCAACCATGACCGTCGGTATCTTGTATGATATTGCATGTCAGCTCGAGCGTAGTTGTCTTAAATACCAACTTCTCGAGCAAGGTATTCTCTCACGTATCGTCTTTTCTATATCCGTATTTCACGCGTACGGACATCAGTGGCCTTGTCAGCTTATTTATCACCCTCGCAAATGTGAAGGGTTTGGACTTTCTGACGGAGAGGGCTGTGAGCGCCTGTGGAGCGCTCTCAAGATGTTGATCCCCCCCTTGCGGGTCTCTGGGGTAAGTATCTTAATTCGTATACCTTGACTGACTAACATTAAGATAGTACCACCAACGGCTTTTTGTGCTGAATGCGCAAGTTCGGCATCTTGACGGCAAAAATCTCGATACATTTGGCGAGTGGCTGAGTCGCAGATGGACTCGTTGCCAGACAAAGAAGAGCAGTGCAGAACATGCGCTTCGACAACTCTCTGTAGATGAAGCTAATATATGCCCGGAATGGAGGGCTCAGGTCGAGCACCAAACGAAAACCATTATCCAGTGCGTGCTTTATTTTATATTTTCATATTTCCCTAACATTAATAGAAAGGGAGATCAAAAACCAACAATGACGAGCAAATATCGAAGATTTTGACCCTCGAGCGAACACTCAGTAACCTGGACGATTCCGTTCGTGCTCTTGAGATGCAGCTCTGTGCTGGCAACACTCTTAACACTGTTGACTTCAACCTTCGACTTGCAGACGAACGCACGCACCGGTCCAAAGTTGCTGATACTCTGCGACGATGGAAGGCATCCCTTGGCATCGGGCAACTTAACGATCTTCAACAACTCCGACGTAGTATATTCCTTCAAATTCGTCTTGATGCGCAAGCTGTCAAGGCACGCCTTCGTGAACGTCTGCGCCAGCGCAAATTTGAAATTGAGAGGTTTGAACGGTCGTACCGTCAGACAGTAAATGGTATGTAGCTCGTTTCAATATGTTGACATGTCCGTGATTATCTTTGATCTAGAGCACAAGCTTCATGTGCATGCAGAAGCTTCAATTCAACGGCGCAACCCTACCATACGAAAGCTCGTCACAACTTACAACAACCTCTGTGGTAAACTAATTGACTTAATTCAACGAGGCGAGGCTCCTGCCGGTGCGATAGCGCCTCATTCTATCTCTCCGACTGGTATCTTTCAGCTTGATGTAGATGATGACATCTGGCAAGATGTTGGACTTGACGGCAATGACATGGCCCCACCTGCCTGGCTAGCGGATGAAAATATGCGCGCAGCAATTAAGTTTCAACTTGAGGTAGACCGGTGCAATGAGGAAAGGGCTCGTATCATGCGAGAACGTTGTGTTCTCCAGGAGTGGATGATGGCTGAGTGGGATGCCTTGCAGGAGGCTCGCACTCGTGCAGGTAAGTTTGTACAACATTCTACTGCCGTGACACTGATAGTATATTTAGAAGAAAATGAAGATCTCTGCTTTCATTTCGACCTCCGTGCTCGCTTGTTGAGTGGTCTTGTTGTGCATTGGCAATCTCGAGTTCGTCCTATCCCTTGTGCTTGGCCATTGCCTGACTCATGGGGCCCCACCCCGAATGACCTTGCTGAGGCTGCTAATATGTATTATCAACCAAGCTGTC